TTGCTTATGTGCACCTTTCTTCGTCTGATATGTAATGCACGGGCTGGCTAACTCAGATACACAATGGAGCTTTTAAACTGGGATTTGAGAAGCATGAAAACAATAGGAGTCTGACTGAAATAACTAACCCACAACCACTTGACAATAACAGCACATTACCCTTAGTGATTCATAGGATGATTAAAATAAAAAACACACAAGAGAGCTTAAATTGTTCACAACTTCCCTATACCTTTTAATATATTTAAATAAACACAGGATGAAATTAGGAGATCATAGAGATAGGGCAAGAAAAGAGATTGGGGGGGGGGGGCTTTAAGGTTACACAGAATAGTTGAACTCTGTATCTTTGGCAGCTAGAGGTTATTTTAGACATATATTTAAAAAAATATATATATATATAATTACATAGAAATAGTAGGCAAAGAAAGAATTCAAAAGGGAACCTTTATAATCATTATTATATTACCTTAAACAAACACACAATAAGGAAGATCAGTATTTCATACATTTAGCTGAACTGTTCACTTCACAGACATGTTTAAATCTAAAGGTATAATAAACATATGCATTCTTCTACTGCTTGCAATAGTTACCACAAAACAGAATGAAAGAGGAGAATAAATAATGCAGATGTAAAATAGATAATGAAATACGCTGACAGCGTCTTCTTCAATCTAAGTAGTAATGAACACCATTTAGTTCGTACAGGGAAGTTACCTCCTTTATAGAGTCCCAATTTATTTTTTTTAAACTCAGCACATTAGCTTGTTGCCTGAAATGTTATAAAAGATATACACGAAAAGAGATACAACGCTGAAAGTGATTTTAAAACATAAACGTTTATTAGAATGTGCTATTCAGCTTTCACGAATAACGACCCACCCAAGCACCGTGGCCATACCCACTGATCTCATTTCCTGGACTAAACTTCGTTTAACTACAGAAAGTCTACAAATTCCCGTGAGTGGTTGACGGAAAGAAAGAGAAATATTACCTGAGCGCCGATAGATCAGACAGTACATCTGCCGTGTCAAGTCTGCCTTTCTTGGACAAAGCCGAGCAGCCCCTTGTGTGTCTTGACCGTAGCGAAGGAATCGATGGCTTGGCAAAAACCGTCGCCGACAATTCCATAACATTAACGCTGTCCTGTACAGGATCCATTACAGACTTCACATACTGGGGCTTTCTTGCAAGTTTGAAAACAGGATTAAGTGTGCATTGTACCAGTCTTTGCGCACAATTTGCATAAGTGAAAGTTTATGGTTGCTGCATAGATGTGTCTGGTGTCCAACATTGGTCTCTCCACGCACCCGACTGCCGCCATCATGGCCACCACCATCCCTTGTGACGTATACGAAACGTGTGTAGTTTCCCCTTTCTGAGCCCATGCTTTGTGACGTTTTGTGGGGGTTTTCCCGACAGGACAAGATGGCCGCAGGTTGTTTTTCTCAAGTTTGCACTGCAATCACATAATCTGGGATTTTAAGTCTAATTTCTTGTCCCTTACTAAGCTTTCTGGCAACCTACCATAAAATATGCATTGGATTCCTTAATGTGTTGTAAGAACACAGAAGACTTCGCTTGGTTGTACTTCTGTTGACCACAGTCAGTCCGAGCGACCCAAAACACTGAAGTGAAGTTCAAGTAGATAGATGGTCGCAATAAATACAATTTTTGTGGTATGACTAAGTAAAGTTATTTACCGAATGTATTGTAACTTCGTGTCGTCATGTTAGTGTATAAATACATATTATCGTAAAGGATCAAATACCTTGTCATAATGTTTTTACTAAATGAGTTGCTTGTCCAGTCCACCACAAGGTCACAAACAACTGGGTGGCCAAGATGTGCACTGTGGCTTTCACTTTCACGCTGTGATTAAATTAATCTGTGTGTCATTTATACTAGTCATCCAGTAAAATGTGACAATATGACCCGTTGAACTCTCAGAACGTGATATATGATTGTCTACTCCTTTTGTCTGCTCCTGAATTCAAAATTGCCTTGCAGTTTCAGGGGAGGTAAAGATGTCTGGAACGGGTCCTTCTGTTCTCATTATATATTGTGTACTTTTCAGTGACTCTGATATTTTTGCGGTCCGTCTTCTGCATTGTCGACTTCTGGATTGTCCGTTGTATCTGTGCAACATTGCATCAATGGTGCCCTGTCTGATGCCAGCCTGTGATATATGATAGATACCCATTCTGTGAGACTGGGTGGAAACTTGTGTCATAAGTACTTTGGGCTATCTTCGCAATAACGGTCCCAAATTATCGAGGCAGAAAATATACCCTAACAGGGCCTCAGTCACGTGTCACTTTCAGGGACTATACCGCCACCGCCTAGAGTATCCCCCACGCTGCTCACATGGCGTGGATTGGGGCTAAACTAGAGGGCTGGGACACATGAGCAAATAAAATCAAGGCAGCTGCAGGAAATGTGGTAGCTGCTGCTCATGAGTCCTAGCCATACTCTCGGCAGTGGCGGAAGTGCACAATTCAAGTCACCGGTAGTGCGCAATGGACACGTGACTGAGGCCCTGTTAGGGTATATTTTCTGCCTCGATAATTTGGGACCGTTATTCGGAAGATAGCCGTACTTTGTTACTGACAAAACAGGAGGCTCTTGTACAAGTGCCTGGGCTGGAGCAAACATCAGTAATCATCCAGTGATGCATTGCTCTCTGCTCTTTAATAGAAACAAAATATTGATACTAATATTAAAATAATTCTTCCCCATTTGGGTTCCGGGGCTCCATTGTAGGGAAGACAAGAATAGATCCACTGTCTCCCCAAACAAGCATGTCGTCAGAGTCGACTAATTCGGGGTTCCTTCACATTAGCGGTGCATCTGCCTGAGAGGCAAGGGACCAATAGTCTACATACAATGAAGTCAAATCTGTAAAACACATGTGCATGCAACACTCAGTTTCAAGTCTAAAGTCCAGAGATGAATGAATAACCAGCACTTTCTGCTGGAGTTAACAGTTCATGGACACAAAGAAAAAGATGATTATTTGTTAACTTGCTTTCCACATAGGACTCCATCTGCATTTCCTGTCAAGTATTTTCTCACATAAAGCTAATTTCTTTGTTGCAACTTTTGTTGCAAGGTCCCATAAATGTCAGTATGGTTTTGATGACTGATCTAGGTCGCAGTTTTTCCTGTAGCTGTCATTGCATTAGATATTTCTTCTCTATCTGTGATTTTTTCATCATTCTTCTCATAATCGACAATTTCAGTTTCACCAAAAAGTTATTGCCTGTTAACAAATATTTTCATGGATAAAAAAAGATAAGCTACTGTACAACTGTGTTATTTAAGACAGATTTGCGTGTTGCAAAGGATCGAGAATTGTTTTAGTTTGTTACAGGGCCCATTCTGGAGTGGGGTGGGGGGGGAATAGACCCAGCATCCCCCAGCAAGCATGTCATAAAAGCAAATAAGGGGTTTTCTAGAATTGTGTGTATTGGGCTGACATATGCAGATACCACAGCCTAGCTGTAAACCACGACACAATATACTGACTTTCTAAAGGTGAACATTATTTTGGTGGGTTACTGTAACATTAGTATTTTTTTTGCATGTGTGCCCCATGATTGTCCTGTTCACAGGGTGAGCGACAGGAAGAAAAGAATAGATGTCAACCCCTGGAAAAAGCCAGAATTGTGTGTGTAATTTGCATGTCTTGAGTAATTCAAAATTGTGTTCTTCTGTGAATGAATTAAATGATAATGACACAAGCAATGTATAGCAAATTGATGACCATGCATATTTCACTGTATCTCATCAGATACATTACTACAGAGTTGTTTCAGCAGCAGGTCATGAGTACAGAATACATAGATCAGATTGTCTCTGGTTACGGTGTATGTCTCACAATCAAAGTGAAAGATTAACCATGTGATCCTATCGTGTACAAAATGCAGGATTGTTTGGTCCTCGTTGCCGCTGCTTCTGCCAACTTGAACTGTGTGAAAGATTAACCATGTGATCCTATCGTGTACAAAATGCAGGATTGTTTGGTCCTCGTTGCCGCTGCTTCTGCCAACTTGAACTACTTCAGGACACCATTTTTCTATGGTTTGGACATAATTAATTTTGAGCTGAATTTTTTTTTACTGCAACATGGTGGCTCAAACCTTCCTGAAGAAACAGTTTGGCTGTATAATGACATTTAATGTATGCAATTAAAGAGAAATGAATACAGAATATGTCTAAACTATTTAAGGATAAGAATTGCACCAATAAAGTATTAAAGTGACACCACATTCAAGGACGTTGGACACAAATGAAGATTTCTTACACATGAAATTAATACTTATCTTACTTTTTAACATTGCCATCCATTCTAAGAATTTGTCTGCCTTCCCTATTTAATTATACATCAGCTAGTCTTTATTTTAGACAATTATTCTACATTTTGTGACCATCTTTCTGTGACATGTCAATTTTAGAACAACCCGAAACAGCGACGATCTGATTGAAACATTTTGTTTAACTTCATCCCAACCTATATTGTCAAAATCTGCGTCATTATTAGAGTTTAGGAAAATTTCACTAAAAAAATTGTATCGCACTGATTTAATTAAAGTAAAACATTAAACTGAATCCTTTTGCTCGCCCATGCTTGGAAAACACAGATACTTCATTTCGCTAATTCCATTTTTTCAAAACAGGTTCATAACAATTCATTTTCCAAGCGAATGAAACAGTAAAAGAGTGTCTGTGATGGCAGCCGCCTGTATGGTATTATGTCTCAACGTGACCGATTCTGCTACAACCTAAATGGGGATATGTCCAGAAAGAGTTAATAAACGTCTGTTTAGTGTGTAATGTCTGTGATATCTGGATAACAGTTGGAAAAAAAACAGAGCTGTGTGTTTCACAGGAAACTAAAGAGTATAAGGATGAAGATTTGAGCTTTTAGAAATGATAAGTTTTCAGTCAATATATTCCCATGTTTTGTTTCTTTTTTCCCCCAATTTCCCAGCAAGATGATGGAAACATTCCTTGAAGATGCAGAGAACTCTCTACATCACAGAACTAATGCCCACAATGGCTCTGGGTCTTCTGGAGAGTCTGAGGAAGACCCAATGGATGATCCTTTCATTTATGACAAGTTTCTACAAGATCCGGACTGGGCCAAGGCAGCACAAGAGGATAGTCTGGCTAAGAACCTGGTGGACCCGGGACCGTTTCGCTACAACAAGCGGATATTCATGACCAGTCTTCCAGCCTTGCTACTAGTGCTGGCGTTAGGCGGAGAAACGTAAGTACCTCATTGAAAGATTCTTCATCCTGAATTGTGACCTCACTCTATAGTTGACACTGCATTTTAGGTGAACTTCGTCCCTAAACTTTGTAATGGATTTCACTCCCAATAGGTAATAGTGGATTTACTTAACATTAATAGGAGTTTTCACCTTAAAGTGGATTTGTATTTCATCCTTTAGCAGAAAGTCCATTTTACCCTGAAAAAGAAGGTAAATTTTACCCTGAAGCTAAAAGTTCTATTACCCTAAAGCATGCTAGATTTTACCCAGAAAAAGAAGGTAAATTTTACCCTGAAGCTAATAGTGCTATTACCCTAAAGCATGCTAGATTTTACCCAGAAAAAGAAGGTAAATTTTACCCTGAAGCTAATAGTGCTATTACCCTAAAGCATGCTAGATTTTACCCAGAAAAAGAAGGTAAATTTTACCCTGAAGCTTATAGCGCTATTACCCTAAAGCATGCTAGATTTTACCCAGAAAAAGAAGGTAAATTTTATCCTGAAGCTAATAGGGCTATTACCCTAAAGCATGCTAGATTTTACCCAGAAGAAGACTTGAGGTAGATAGTAGATCTGACCTTGAACCAGACAGTAGATTTTATTTTCACTCAAGTAGCCAGTAGATTTTACCTTGAAGTAGACTGTGAATGTTACCATGAATCAGACGGTAGATATTGCCCAAAAGAAGTCTAGATTTTACCCTGAGGCAAACAGTAGATTTTGCCCTGAAACAGACATAAGATGTTACCATGAATCAGACATAAGATGTTACCATGAATCAGACATAAGATGTTACCATGAATCAGACATAAGATGTTACCATGAATCAGACATAAGATGTTACCATGAATCAGACATAAGATGTTACCATGAATCAGACATAAGATGTTACCATGAGGCAGACATAAGATGTTACCATGAGGCAGACATAAGATGTTACCATGAAACAGACATAAGATGTTACCATGAATCAGACATAAGATGTTACCATGAATCAGACATAAGATGTTCTAATGAATCAGACATAAGATGTTACCGTGAGGCAGACATGAAATGTTAGCATTAGGCAGACATAAGATGTTACCATGAATCAGACATAAGATGTTACCATGAATCAGACATAAGATGTTACCATGAATCAGACATAAGATGTTACCATGAATCAGACATAAGATGTTACCATGAATCAGACATAAGATGTTACCATGAATCAGACATAAGATGTTATCATGAATCAGACATAAGATGTTACCATGAATCAGACATAAGATGTTACCATGAAGCAGACATTAGATGTTACCATGAGGCAGACATAAGATGTTACCATGAAGCAGACATTAGATGTTACCATGAAGCAGACATAAGATGTTACCATGAAGCAGACATTAGATGTTACCATGAATCAGACATAAGATGTTACCACAGTGTGGTCTTGTGAGTGTTTTCTGAATTTGTTTTTCCATAGTCTTGTGCTGATGGTTGCCGTAGGAACTGCATTGATTGCTGTGATGGCCCAGCTTGGAGACAGCCGAAGGTATCCATCTTTTGTTGTTTGAAAAAAATGTTTTAATAAAACTTGTTCATCGTCTGCTTCTTTTCTCCTCCTCCTCCTCCTACATTTGCCTTTAAAAGCATGGTTGGTGAAATTTATACAATAGACAAAATTGCTGATATAGGCAACTTATTTCAGGCAAACGAAAGAAGATGTGAGGTAGTTCACATTCAAAACAGTATATTGCCTTTTATGTTACTGTATCTCTTCAGGTGTGTTCAGGTCGGGACTCAAGTCACACAACTTGGACTCCAGTGCAACCTAAGTCGCGTAATAAATGACCTGCAACTCGACCTAGGGGTTTTGTCTCGTGACTTGTGGTTTTGATGACTTGGTACGACCGGACACTGTGGGATGTTGTGAACATCATCACAATTGAAAATGTTCCCATGTAAAACAGGACACAGTCAAGTCTGTTTTGATTTATCGAGCTTTTCACGTTTGACTTCTTCCTCTTGTATACACAGTTCAGTAACTAGTTTAATCCATAGGACATGTTCAAAGAAGTTGATACATGAAGTGACTTGATTTGGGTCTCGACTTGGAAGCATTCTTTGAGACTTGGTTGCAGTGACTTGGGACTCGACTTGAGCTTGAAGGGTGATGACTTTGTCCAACTTTTGCTACAGAGTTCAAAACATAAATCCTTGTAACTGAAATACTCCATTCACATTGTTTCCTGTTACACTGTACAGCTAACTGTAGAAGTCCAAGATTAACTGCATGATCCTTTTGTTAACATAATGCAGGATTGCTCATCCTAATTGCCACCAATGTTAAATGTATGATACTGGTAATATTATTTGTTGTATTTGTAATCATGATAAAATTACATGGTTGTTTGTTACAGGTGTGTTATCATATTTGTGATCATCTTCATACCAACTCATGTTTACGTGTTGGCTTCAGTGGTCCCTCTGTTATGGTGAGTTTATCTGTTTTTTGTGTGTAATTGTAGGGAGAACATGCGTGTGGTAGGTACACTGCTGTGTGTGGCACATCAGAGGCAGGTGGCAGGCTTGATTTCCTTCATTTTCTTCTATATTTTCTACACTTTCTTCTTCTTATTCCCTGTATTCACTAGCTGTAAACTGGTGGAAAACTCTTGTTGTTTTTCCACTCGGGGACTTTTGTCTTGATCCTGAACTTGAGTTCTGCTTGCACCAACGTTTTACAGATATGGCTTATTTGTATGCAGACTGTTGGTTCCTTGTCTCTGAGGTAGATGCACTCCGACTTTGAAGGAAATGCCCCTAATTAGGCTCCTCCTACAACATGCTTGTTGTGGGGGGGGAGGGGGCAGTGAGTTTGTTCTCTGTTCTTCAGAATCGAGCCCCAGAACCAACAAGGGTTACAGTTTTTGTTGGGGCAAATGTTCCTGGGACTGTATTTTAGTGGGATGGGTTAGGAGAAAGACCAAGCTTAGCCAAACAAAAATTAATATGATAATACAGGCATTTAATTATAGATTCAGAACGCATTCTAATCAAAACATATCTCTATACTGTCTGTTTCTCTATTTGCAGAATCTTTTTTTTCCTCCTCTTTTTAATCACATTTTGTTATGTTGGGGTGGGGGCATGAACAACTTGCCATTTTACTTACAAGTGGGGGGTGGGGTGAAAAATATGTAGAGACCACTGCTGTACAGAAATGGTCATCAACTAAAAGCCTTACTACATCTCTCTATGGAGCCATAAGTCTGCAGGTTTGAGTAGCCGTGACGAGGATGAAGAACTACTGTTGGCATAGTTCTTTGTATTGTTTGTTTCAGGCTGTCGCTGTGGCACTTCTTCCTTGTGGCATTGATTAACCTGTTTGTGGTTCTCACAGCCGGCTGGGTGTTGCTGCAGTTTAAAGCTTTTAGGATGGAGGAGCCAACACTAGCTGTTGTAAGTTGTCTTGTGCTTTTGTTGTAGTCAAGAGTTTCAGATCACATGGAGGAGCCAACACTAGCTGTTGTAAGTTGTCTGTGCTTTTGTTGTAGTCAAGAGTTTCAGATCACATGGAGGAGCCAACACTAGCTATTGTAAGTTGTCTGTGCTTTTGTTGTAGTCAAGAGTTTCAGATCACATACATTTAGATCCAGTTTGAATCAGTCTGTGTGTTGAGTATATTATACATAGCTGAGGGACAGAGACAGTGATTTTTTTTTTTTTTTTTTGTCACAGCAGGACAAGAGAGGCTATAAAAACATCTACTTCATGTTCACCGGCTGTAAACTCCAGTGGAAAGTTCTGGTTGTTTGTCCACTTCTTGACTTTGGTCTTTTTCCAGAACTTGAGTTTTGCATGCACATCCATTTGGCTTATTTGTTTGCAGAATGTTGGTTTCTCTCTTCTCAGGCAGGTGCACTTTGAAGGAAGCTCCCCAAATTAGTTGCTTCCTGTGACATGCTTGTCAGGGAGGTTTTTGTCTATTCTTTCCTCAAAACGAGGCCTTGGGGCCTGAGATGATGACCAGAAGGATGGGTTGTAGTAGAGCAGATGTCAACTGAGATAACTGATGTTGGACTGTCTCATACAGTGGTATCTATATCTTCTTCCTGTCACTGTTGACACACACGCCAATTGTGCCGGTCTGCTGAATTTCTGCCCTTTTCATTTTTACATTCCTTCATTTCCCCTCCTGCTGTCCTTCTCCGGCTTTCCTTGGGTCATCCACATCCTTTTTTCCATCTGCCATCCCCCAGAGTGCTGTCCTTGCCATAGTACCACGAGACATGTCCAGGCCACTCCCAGCTCTTACCTTAGTACCGTTTGCCAGTGAGGAACATTTTGTTGTCAGAGAGACAGTGATATGGAAATATATTGTCAGTAGAACTGAGACACTGCACCAAGAGTTGAGATTAGTGCCCAGAGATGAACACCAACATTTTGACAAGGCACATGATGTCAGTTCTCATATCATGGCAGTTTTTAACTGAAAGATGTTGAATGATAAGGCTGTGCATGGGTTAGGGTGATTGACTCCCTCCTCGCCACCCTGGTATCTATCTTACAGGTCTATATTGTTTACTGTCTATACTGTCTTGAACATGTGGGCAGGTCTTGCCAGTCAGTCACGCTTGGGTTCGCCTCGGGCTGTGATTCCCATGTCTCCTCAGAGCAAAATGTAACACTCGTCTGGAAAGACAAAAAGGTGGCAACAAATTAACAGACATCTAATTTACAATACAGCATCTTTACCAGAGCCGTGTGTTCGTTAGTTAGTCTTTCCTCTTGGGCCTGGGGGGGGGGGGGGGGGGCATAGGTCATAGCTCTCCATGTCTGGTGGTTCATTGCAACCTGGACCATGTTTGGCTGGGAAGAATTCCTCTGTGGAGATTCATTCCAGTTCTCACTTATATATTGAATGAACTCATAGACATATTTTTCTCTTCTAGATGACAGAGCAGTTGCTGTTCACTGCTTACCCATTCATCTGTACATGCCTGGTGTGCTGGGCGTTAGCTACAGTCATGTCAGTGTCTGTCATCCCAACAGTGTTCTCGTTTATGTGGTGAGTATTTGTACCCGCATTCTCTGGATGCTTTGTTTGTGGTTTGTTTTGTAGGAGTTGTGTGCATTGTGTTATTGTTTCTTGAAAAAAATTGTGCATGTTGTAATCAAGTAAATAACACTTGTCACGACATTGGCACGTGGGGTTTCTAATGGCAGGCCATATTTTCGTAGACTAATCTGTGGGTGATGTGGTCAGCATCATGCCGTCCGCCTTTACTTCCTATGATGATCTTTCTATTTTAGGGTTCATGGCCCGTGGTGATCCCCGTAGAAAATGTTGGCTCTTGAATACACTTTTTTGAAAAGCCGTATGCCTAGGTGGATGCCTAGGTGGATGCCTAGGACTTTGCCTGCTAGCAATGTTTGGCTGGTTCAACCTCGGAGCAAAGGTTATTTTTGAAGAAGAAAAAAATCTGATATCATGCATATTTAAACCTGAGAACAGGTTGTAGGAGGAGCATCTAGTTGTACACTATTGCAGTTTCTCAGTGCATCAGAAACATCTAGTTGGTACACTATTGCAGTTTCGAAGTGCATCAGAAACATCTAGTTGTAGACTATTGCAGTTTCTCAGTGCATCAGAAACATCTAGTTGTAGACAATTGCAGTTTCTCAGTGCATCAGAAACATCTAGTTGTAGACTATTGCAGTTTCTCAGTGCATCAGAAACATCTAGTTGGTACACTATTGCAGTTTCTCAGTGCATCAGAAACATCTAGTTGTAGACTATTGCAGTTTCTCGGTGCATCAGAAACATCTAGTTGTAGACTATTGCAGTTTCTCAGTGCATCAGAAACATCTAGTTGGTACACTATTGCAGTTTCTCAGTGCATCAGAAACATCTAGTTGTAGACTATTGCAGTTTCTCGATGCATCAGAAACATCTAGTTGGTACACTATTGCAGTTTCTCAGTGCATCAGAAACATCTAGTTGGTACACTATTGCAGTTTCTCAGTGCATCAGAAACATCTAGTTGGTAGACTATTGCAGTTTCTCGGTGCATCAGAAACATTTAGTTGTAGACTATTGCAGTTTCTCGGTGCATCAGAAACATCTAGTTGGTACACTATTGCAGTTTCTCAGTGCATCAGAAACATCTAGTTGGTACACTATTGCAGTTTCTCAGTGCATCAGAAACATCTAGTTGTAGACTATTGCAGTTTCTCAGTGCATCAGAAACATCTAGTTGTAGACTATTGCAGTTTCTCAGTGCATCAGAAACATCTAGTTGTAGACTATTGCAGTTTCTCAGTGCATCAGGAGCATCTAGTTGTAGACTATTGCAGTTTCTCAGTGCATCAGGAGCATCTAGTTGTAGACTATTGCAGTTTCTCAGTACATCAGAAACATCTAGTTGTAGACTATTGCAGTTTCTCAGTGCATCAGAAACATCTAGTTGTAGACTATTGCAGTTTCTCAGTGCATCAGGAGCATCTAGTTGTAGGCTATTGCAGTTTCTCAGTGCATCAGAAACATCTAGTTGTAGACTATTGCAGTTTCTCAGTGCATCAGGAGCATCTAGTTGTAGGCTATTGCAGTTTCTCAGTGCATCAGAAAGATCTAGTTGTTGACTATTGGCGTTTCTCAGTGCATCAGAAACATCTAGTTGTTGACTATTGCAGTTTCTCGGTGCATCAGAAACATCTAGTTGTTGACTATTGCAGTTTCTCAGTGCATCAGAAACATCTAGTTGTTGACTATTGCAGTTTCTCGGTGCATCAGAAACATCTAGTTGGTACACTATTGCAGTTTCTCAGTGCATCAGAAACATCTAGTTGGTACACTATTGCAGTTTCTCAGTGCATCAGAAACATCTAGTTGTACACTATTGCAGTTTCTCAGTGCATCAGAAACATCTAGTTGTACACTATTGCAGTTTCTCAGTGCATCATAAACATCTAGTTGTACACTATTGCAGTTTCTCAGTGCATCAGAAACATCTAGTTGTAGACTATTGCAGTTTCTCAGTGCATCAGAAACATCTAGTTGGTACACTATTGCAGTTTCTCGGTGCATCAGAAACATCTAGTTGGTACACTATTGCAGTTTCTCATTGCATTTGGATAACTTGTGTGAGTTTTGTTGAGTGGGGGGGGGGGGGGGGTAGAATATGTTTGTGTATTTGTGACTGAGTTATATTTTTTGAGATTTTGTGGAATAATTTTATACATTTAGTTACCGATAATTAAATAGGTTATCCTACTTCTTTAGGCTTTAGTACAATTTAGGTAGAGGATCACTAATAAGTTCTTCAGTCTTCTCCTGTAAATCCTACAAGGGGAATCTCTGCCCAGCGCTTGAACCCTTTAGCACCAGTATGGGTGAAACTTGCAGTTTTAGTGACCTGATTTCTCTGTAATTGTTTGCCTCTTTGCATTTATGAATCTATTGTACTAATTAATTAGGTAATTTGATAGTTATCACCCAGTATTTGATTTCCCATGTGACAGTTCTGTCATATGTTTTGTAAGGTATTGTTTTTATTTGCTTGTCTATCTGTGATATGTTTTCTTTATGTTTGTTGGGTTGTGACAACAAAATGACAATTGCTGGTATCATGGTTGGGGTATTTCCATAGACAGTTGTTTTTAGGATAAAAAATAAAAGCAGCATTCCCAAGTAATTGCCACGGAGTACACAGGTGAAGATTTGTTAAAAGTCAAAGGATTGAACACATTTTTTTTTAGTGCTAGATTCTGATCCTGCTGTGTGGCTTCCAGGGCCTCGTTGTGGGCAAAACAAGACAAGGCTCAATGCCAGCCTAAAAGCATGTCCTAAGAGTCTAAATGTGTGGATGAACAACCTGAACTTTCTGCCGGAGTTTAAAGCCGGTGAACGCAAAGAAAAAGAAGAAGATTCTCATCCCTTGGGCCCTTGTTAATTTGTGCATGTACACAATGGAGTCAAAAAGATATTTATGATCCTGCAGAGAAACATTCAAATTCCTGCAGAGAATCAACCAAGATCCTGCAGAAAACAAGATCCATCCTGCAGAGAATCAATCAAGATCCATCCTGCAGAGAATCGATCAAGTTACTGCAGAAAACAATCAAGATACTGCAGAAAACAATCAAGAAACTGCAGAAAACAATCAAGATACTGCAGAAAACAATCAAGATACTGCAGAAAACAATCAAGATACTGCAGAAAACAATCAAGATACTGCAGAAAACAATCAAGATACTGCAGAAAATAATCAAGATCCATCATGCAGAGAAACAATCAAGATCCTGCAGAGAATCAACCAAAATCCTGCAGAGAAACAATCAAGATCCTGCAAAGGAACAATCAAGATCCATCCTGCAGAGAATCAATCAAGATCCATCATGCAGAGAAACAATCAAGATCCTGCAGAAAACAATCACAAAATTCATTTAAACTTGTCTCTTTATATCCTATAGCTTTAGTATAATTGCTACTACGCTTGCCTGCTACCCTCGGTGGCCATGGTTTGAACCCTCACTGGCTTGAGGATGGTCTCTGATAGGCTAACAAAACCATGACATTGCATGAAGTTGTTTCTGCATTTTGTTCTGCAGCTAACCAATCCTTGGACATTTCAGGTTTGTGTTGCTGCAGCTCTACTTGCTGCCCATCGTGTCATCCTTCAAGACGCAGGCGGCAGGGGACGATAATCTGGATGTGGTGCAGGTCCCTGTGGTTGTGGCCACGGTGATTGTCTTTGTGCTGCTGGGCCCAATCCTGCAGATCCTTCTGTCAGCATTGTCTGTGGACACACCAGCTGTGTTGTCAGTGATCTTCTTTGTAAGTTGTAGCTTGTTGTAAGTGTTTAGTTTATTGTAGCCTGTAGAGAGTGCAAGTGTTTAGTTTACTGTAGCCTGTAGAGAGTTGTAAGTGTTTAGTTTATTGTAGCCTGTAGAGAGTTGTAAGAGTTTAGTTTATTGTAACCTGTAGAGAGCTGTAAGTGTTTAGTTTATTGTAACCTGTAGAGAGTTGAAAGTGTTTAGTTTATTGTAGCGTGTAGAGAGCTGTAAGTGTTTAGTTTATTGTAGCCTGTAGAGAGTTGAAAGTGTTTAATTTATTGTAGCGTGTAGAGAGCTGTAAGTGTTTAATTTATTGTAGCCTGTAGAGAGTTGAAAGTGTTTAATTTATTGTAGCCTGTAGAGAGTTGTAAGTGTTTAGTTTATTGTAACCTGTAGAGAGTTGAAAGTGTTTAGTTTATTGTAACCTGTAGAGAGCTTAAGAGTTTAGTTTATTGTAACCTGTAGAGAGCTTAAGAGTTTAGTTTATTGTAGCCTGTAGAGAGTTGCAAGTGTTTAGTTTATTGTAACCTGTAGAGAGCTTAAGAGTTTAGTTTATTGTAGCCTGTAGAGAGTTGTAAGTGTTTAGTTTATTGCAGCCTGTAGAGAGTTGTAAGTGTTTTGTATATAGTAGCCTGAAGAGAGTTGTAAGTGTTTAGTTTATTGTAGCCTGTAGAGAGTTGTAAGTGTTTAGTTTATTGAAGCCTGTAGAGAGTTGTAAGTGTTTAGTTTATTGCAGCCTGTAGAGAGTTGTAAGTGTTTAGTTTATTGCAGCCTGTAGAGAGTTGTAACTGTTTAGTTTATTGTAGCCTGTAGAGAGTTGTAAGTGTTTAGTTTATTGTAGCCTGTAGAGAGTTGTAAGTGTTTAGTTTATTGCAGCCTGTAGAGAGTTGTAAGTGTGTTGTATATAGTAGCCTGAAGAGAGTTGTAAGTGTTTAGTTTATTGCAGCCTGTAGAGAGTTGTAAGTGTTTAGTTTATTGTAGCCTGTAGAGAGTTGTAAGTGTTTTGTATATAGTAGCCTGAAGAGAGTTGTAAGTGTTTAGTTTATTGTAGCTTGTAGAGAGTTATAAGGGTTTATTTTGTTTGGTTTTTTTTAGCTTGTAACTTGATGTAATGTGAAGTTGATTATAATCTGTAACTTGTTAATCTGTAAATGAAAATTCCACCACATATCAAAACCTATAATGACAAGGAAATGTGGAGTTGGGTTGAAGCACCATCATTTATTATGTAGCAGGTCTTTTGCAGAACATCACAGTCTGCCTGAAAGAAACTCGATCTCTTGCCAGCTCTCCTGCCTCAAGCACTTTCATATCCAAGGAGTCTCTTATATCTCGTCCCTATCTTCATGTTGGTCGAACCCTGTACCTCCTTCCTGGTACCGTGCCTTCTGCTGTTTTTTTTTTTTTTAATGATAGGCCTAGGGATCAAGCTGACATTGTTAATGTCCTTAGAGAGCTAGGACAGTTGGAGGGTTTTCGGGAACAGTGTTTCCAATCACTGCTAAGAATGTGAGAATTTGGGAGTAAAGATTGGCACAGCCAGGTGGGAGAGGTACTCCTGACATACATTGAGTCTTGTCAGTCAGCATGGGACTAGACGTTTAACTATAGGATGCTGGTGAAGGTGTCAAAACGGGAATCTGAGCGCCCTTGGAAGTGTCTGGTTTTCATGTGAAGAAAACACAACTTGTAACTCATAGCCTTGTATGTCGTGACCTAGAATATGTGAAGGCCTAACATTTCACACCCGTATTGTGAAACTACAGTTGTATGCTTGTTGAATGTCTGCAGGTTCACCTGATCTTTATGATGTCCCTGACCTTGTTCTTGTCAACACTGCTCAGTATCCGACAGATTTTTGAGTACCTGGGTAAGCTTAAGTAATATTCTGTGTATCAGAGTGTAAGGTATATTGTAGCGCAAGAATATAAATATTTATGTCACACTGTAAGGTATATTGTAGCGCAAGAATATAAATATTTATGTCACACTGTAAGGTATATTGTAGCTGAATATAAATATTTATGTCACACTGTACGCAAGAATATAAATATTTATGTCACACCTTAAGGTATATTGTAGCGCAAGAATATAAATATTTATGTCACACTGTAAGGTATATTGTAGCCCAAGAATATAAATATTTATGTCACACTGTAAGGTATATTGTAGCGCAAGAATATAAATATTTATGTCACACTGTACGGTATATTGTAGCGCAAGAATATAAATATTTATGTCACACTGTAAGGTATATTGTAGCGCAAGAATATAAATATTTATGTCACACTGTAAGGTATATTGTAGCGCAAGAATATAAATATTTATGTCACACTGTAAGGTATATTGTAGCGCAAGAATATAAATATTTATGTCACACTGTAAGGTATATTGTAGCGCAATAATATAAATATTTATGTCACACTGTAAGGTATATTGTAGCGCAAGAATATAAATATTTATGTCACACTGTAAGGTATATTGTAGCGCAAGAATATAAATATTTATGTCACACTGTAAGGTATATTGTAGCGCAAGAATATAAATATTTATGTCACACTGTAAGGTATATTGTAGCGCACAAATATAAATATTTATGTCACAGTGTAAGGTTTTTTAAGGCACCAGAACATAAATATGTTTGTCACATTGTAAAGCATATTAAATCACAAAATACAAATGTTTTGAGTGCCTGAGTAAGCTTTGGTAATCTCATTTCTTGCTTTTGAATCTGTTTGTGTCGCGGGTGTAACAAAAGAGGAACATACTTTTTTATGTCAGAGTTAAAGCATTTATGACAGAGTTAAGGTGTTTATGTCAGAGCTAAGGTGTTTATGTCAGAGTTAAAGCATTTATGACAGAGTTAAGGTGTTTATGTCAGAGGTAAGGCATTTATGACAGAGTTAAGGTGTTTAGGTCAGAGTTAAGGCATCTATGTCAGAGTTAAGGTGTTTATGTCAGAGTTGAGGCGTTTATGTCAGAGTTAAGGCATAAATTGACTCAATCAGACATCGCAAAATGCAATTTAATCTTCAGGCAAGGTGACAATTTCAAAATATGAATGCAGTGCTCAAGTCAATAACTTTCTTTCGTTTGATTCAGTTGTATACCTTTTACATAAACTTGCTTCAATTTGACAATGTCTATACCAGGAGTATGCAAGAAGATGACTTTCTGCAGTCCCATTCAAATTGATATTGTTCCTGATAGACAGTTTAAAAAAAAGTACAAATCCACTTCCTGCATCAACATAAGTACCTGTTCCTCAATGACTGATCCAAATGACTGAATAACTGAATCACATTAACATTTAGAACAATTCAAGTGCTGAACCATCGAACAGTAATGTCAGTGTATCCGATCCAGCATTAGAAACAGGATTTAAAGGACATAAGCGGGAGCAGTGATATTACTTAACTCTTTGAGTCCCAGGGGGTTTAGCATCACAGGCTCAAGAGGTAGTCAAGAGAGACATAAAATCGGCGCATCATACGTTCACTGGGCCTCTAGGTAGGAATGTATGAACGTATGATGCGTTCCTTGGGAGTCAAAGAGTTAAGTACACAAAAAAAGAGTAAGAATGTAATCAAAAGGAATGAATGGATGAGTGAGAGAATTATTGTGTTAACATAAATATATATTTGTGTGTGATTATATTTACTTCAATATTATTTAACCTGCTCTTATTTGGGTATATATGATGTATGTTAAATGTATAATTTTTTTATTTCTACAAGTAAAAAATTTTCTAAAAGTTCTTATTGTAGTTTTCACAATGTAATATTTTTAATAATAATTTTTGTATCTTTCAGTTAAGTTTTAACAAATATATAAAATACAAGAGCATAGTTAATTCTACTAGGCTGAAATGCATATTAAAGTCCACGAACATACAGTTATTCGGTAAATAATACAGGAGTATATATTATCTTCCAAAGGTCTGCCATATTCGACTGCAGTTTATGTTCGCTGGGGATCCGGCGTCAGTTGCACTCTCCTCTGCTACCCAGTTCTGCAGGCGTTTGGGCTGGATTCCCATTTCCTGCCTCTGCTTCCTGTTGCCATCGGAATCTTTGCGGCGCTTGGAGTTGTTCTGGCTTTCAAGAAGAGAAGGGTGGTGATGGCGGTAAGGCTAGTCATACTTCTATAGGTCATGGTGTGTTTAGGCATGTAATAGCCATTGATCCCACATTGAAAGTGTCAATCAAGAATGCTGACAACATATTTTTTTGTTAACTTCAAAGGGCAAATCACATGAGTCAATTCAGAAATTTACAAATCTCATTTTCATAGTTAACGGGCACAATAACTCACTGGCTCCCATGCTTGCCTAATAACTTAGCAGTCGTGTGTTCATATCCTGGGCTATTTTTTCTCCAATGACTCTCCTGATCAATCCAACATAACAGTTATAACAAATAAATGACTTTTTTTGTGTGTGCCAGTGAAAGGATGCTAGACTCTGTTTATAGAACACCTGGCACTCGTTGAGCACTGACTACCTTTCTTCTTCCTGTCAAAGTCCATGCCGTGTGGCATTGGTAGTCATATCTATCTATGCGGTTAGCCTCGCACCACCTTATAACTGTTGAGGGAAATAATTTTAGAAGTAAAGGTAGCCATTTACTGCAAGAAAAGATGGATGTAATTGTGACGTAAAGTGAAAAGAAGGCTCTTAGTTTGAACAGCCGAAAAACAGAAGTAGTGGTAATTACGAAGAAAACTGACCCTACAAAATACAACATCAAAGTAAGTGGGACAAACCTCAAGCAAGCTGATATGTTTAAGTACTTGGGTACCCTGACATCATCAGATGGAAGATGTATTAAGGAAGTTAAATGTCAAATAGCTCTAGCAAAGGCAGCATTTTACAAAATGAAGAATACGTTATGCAATCTTTCTTCATCGAGTTGAGACAAGAAATATAAATCTTAAAAGTTATACAAATCCTCTATTGATATACGGATGTGAATCATTGACAGTAAATTAGTAAAAAAGTTTTTGGAAGCTGCGGAGATGTGGTTTTTTAGACGAATGATGAGAATACCCTGGACAGATAAAAAGAGTAATGAAGACGTCTTGAAAGATATAAACTCACAAAGAGAACTGATTGCCCACATCAGAAAAAGTCGCTACATTCTTTGGTCATGTGATGATAAGGAGAAAACTGGAGTACATCATGACTGTAGGAAAGTTGGAGGGGAGGAGAGGCAGGGGGAGACCGAGAGAACAGATGCTGGACAGCTTGACATAGCATGGAAGATCAAAAACAAGAGAATAGGAGTTTGACATAGCATGGAAGATCAAAAACTGGAGTACATCGTGACAGTAAGAAAGTTGGAGGGGAGGAGACCAAGAGAATAGATGCTGGACAGTTTGACATAGCATGGAAGATCAAAAACTGGAGTACATCGTGACAGTAAGAAAGTTGGAGGGGAGGAGACCGAGAGAATAGATGCTGGACAGTTTAACGTCATAGCATGGAAGATCATCTGTGTCGGAGTTGATTGAAAGTACATGAGATAGAAGATTGTGGATAGATATGACTAACAACGCCACACAGCCTGGACTTTGAGAAGAAGAAGAAAGGTAGCCAGTGTGATATTGACTTCATCATCCAATTAAGTGCCGGTTGATCTAAAAAAATGTTTGGCTAGCACTGTGTGCTTCGTACGCCTCACACCGAGAGAAGGGATTCTCTACTTTAGTTACAGGAAGTTTAGTGAAAGTCGAGAGGATCAACTTCATTACACCAGGTTTTTTCCCGTATGGAGTGGTTTCTGTCTGTAGAACAACTGGCTGCCTGCCTAGAGCATCACACAAACTGCAAACTCTGTAGCTTATGTAACAAGTTGTGCTTGTGAACTGAATGGCGTGTTAGTGAATCGAACGATGGCCTTTGGAGCGTGAGGCCAACAACTTGACATTTCACCTTGCAGACCAGCAGTTTAAAAAAAAAAAGGGAGAGGAAAGGAACCATCTCAAATACTTAACTTGCAAAAATTCAACAAGATCCTTGGTCAGTGTATTTAGGTGCATTAAAGACTGATAACTTATTAGACACACTCTCTGGCAGGTATACAAACTCTCTGTCTTAGTCCCTCTCTCGTTTTTAGAAAATAAAGTTTGTTTGTTCTCCAATTCTCTACCTCTGTATATCTAACTCTTTTTTCCTCCCCAACCCTTCCACATATCTCTCTCTCTCATCTTCTCTCTCTCTCTCTCTCTCTCTCTCTCTCTCTCTCTCTCTCTCTCTCTCTCTCTCTCTCTCTCTCTCTCTCTCTCTCTCTAAATAATTCAGCTGTCTTTTCTTGTTTTTGTTTGTTGTTTTTAACATATCAGAGATTTAGGAGCTTTAACTGATGATTCTTTTATTATTTGACATTATGGTTTATACGCCAATAGTGTATGCTGTATGTTCTTTTATCTGTTGTATATCAGCTAGTTATTAAATCAAATCAACATGAGACAATATTTGTGAACTACATCGTGCACAGGTGCTGGCTGTGGTTCTGGTGACAAGTCTGGTAGCTTTGTTCATTCTCTGGATCCAAGGGATGCCCCACAACCTGAAGTATCCTTGCCTGTTGTTACACTTGTGATTTCACCTGAATTTTGTTAGTGGTAGATTTAGGCAATTTCTCTTCACTGATTTAACTGCAAGAAATTGGCATGTGAATGAAATTGCTGCGAAAGACTGACAATACACAGAAGTTGCAACAGTGACAGATGATCAACATCTTTGCCATGTACACAGAAGTTGCAAATGATTGACATCTTTCCCATGTACAGAGAAGTTGCAACAGTGGTAAATGATCAACATCTTTCCCATGTACACAGAAGTTGCAACAGTGGCAAATGATCAACATCTTTCCCATGTACACAGAAGTTGCAAATGATTGACATCTTTCCCATGTACACAGAAGTTGCAACAGTGACAAATGATTGACATCTTTGCCATGTACACAGAAGTAGCAGCAGTGGCAAATGATTGTCATCTCTCCCATGTACACAGAAGTTGCAACAGTGGCAAATGATCTACATCTTTCCCATGTACACAGAATACGCAACAATGGCAAAAGATCAACATCTTTCCCATGTATGGCTTGCAGCATTTACTCAATGTGCCCAAAGCAGTGAGAAAGGAACCTTTGCCATAAAATCCTGAAGCTGTGCCGAGGAATGACCACAGTTGATCCTTTCTACCAAAACACATGGCGAAGATCACGAACTTGTTCTTGACTTGATCAAACCAAAAATTATCTGGACAGAACCACAGGCCAACAAAAGATCAGAGAAAACAATGAAGATATTGGACACGACAAACATTGTCAATAGATGGGCTCCATAGTAAACAGCACCGCTGGTCTGGAGAAGACTGGTCCTCTAGTGGGGCAGCCATAAAATATCAACATTTCTTCTGTTTGCCTTTAAAAGGCTGTTGATACATTGTGGTTTACGAGGCCCTATTACAGGGAAAACAAGAATACCCACTTCCTCTCCAAAATCATGTCGTAAGAGCCAACTAATCGGGAGCTTCCTTTGAAGTTAGAGGGCATCTGCACGAGAGGCAAGGAGCCAACAGTCTGTATACAACACTCTAGAACAAAACTAATCCAGATGTTGACAAACAACCAGAACTTTCTGCTGGAGTTAACAGCTGGTGAACATGAAGAAGAAGAATAGTCCTTACATCTGACCAAAGATGCCTTACAGAGATTAGAACACAAATATTTATGGCAAAACTTTCTCCAAGATGGGAAATAATTGCCAAAATGCTCTGTGTAAAAACAGTAAGTATTGAAATGTTTTAGAGAATCTATACTGTTGTGGTGGCTGGAGAATCTATACTGTTGTGGTGGCTGGAGAATCTATACTGTTGTAGTGACTGGAGAATCTATACTGTTGTGGTGGCTCTATACTGGAGTGAAGAATCTATACTGTTGTAGTGACTGGAGAATCTATACTGTTGTGGTGGCTGTGGAATCTATACTGTTGTAGTGGCTAGAGAATCTATACTGTTGTAGTGACTGGAGAATCTATACTGTTGTGGTGGCTGTGGAATCTATACTGTTGTAGTGACTGGAGAATCTATACTGTTGTAGTGACTGAAGAATCATCTATACTGTTGTGGTGGCTGTGGAATCTATACTGTTGTGGTACCTGGAGAATCTATACTGTTGTGGGGCCTGGAGAATCTATACTGTTGTGGTGCCTGGAGAATCTATACTGTTGTGGTGGCTGTGGAATCTATACTCTTGAGATGGCTGTGTGGCTTAGAGGTTAGTGCATGTGATTACCAATTACATGGCCCTTGAGTGCTAAGTTTCATTTCCTGTGGTGGGAATTATTTTGTTGGCATGATGATGATGATGGTTTGGATGTTTGCTTAACTGAACCCAGACATTACTTTATAGGCATGTTTCCACTCAATGCCTTCTACCTGATGATCTGTGTCAACTTCCTGCTGTGTCTGCTCTGTTTGTGGATGGCCACAGTTGATGCTAGAGACATGTTTGGTGCCCTCTTAGTACTTCAGGCTATCGGTAAGTGCGCCTTAGTACTTCAGGCTATCGGTGAGTGCGCCATTAGTACTTCAGGCTATTGGTAAGTGCGCCATTAGTACTTCAGGCTATTGGTAAGTGCACCATTAGTACTTCAGGCTATTGGTGAGTGCGCCATTAGTACTTCAGGATATTGGTAAGTGCGCCATTAGTACTTCAGGCTATTGGTGAGTGCGCCATTAGTACTTCAGGCTATTGGTAAGTGCGCCATTAGTACTTTAGGCTATTGGTAAGTGCACCATTAGTACTTCAGGCTATTGGTGAGTGCGCCATTAGTACTTCAGGATATTGGTAAGTGCGCCATTAGTACTTTAGGCTATTGGTGAGTGCGCCATTAGTACTTCAGGCTATTGGTAAGTGCGCCATTAGTACTTTAGGCTATTGGTAAGTGCGTCATTAATACTTCAAGCTATCAGTGAGTGCGCCATTAGTACTTTAGGCTATTGGTAAGTGCGCCATTAGTACTTCAGGCTATCAGTGAGTGCTCTGTTAGTACTTCAGGCTATTGGTAAGTGTGCCATTAGTACTTCAGGCTATCAGTGAGTGTGCCATTATTACTTCAGGCTATCGGTAAGTGCGCCATTAGTACTTCAGGCTATCAATGAGTGTGCCATTAGTACTTCAGGCTATCAATGAGTGTGCCATTAGTACTTCAGGCTATCAATGAGTGTGCCATTAGTACTTCAGGCTATCAATGAGTGTGCCATTAGTACTTCAGGCTATCAATGAGTGTGCCATTAGTACTTCAGGCTATCAGTGAGTGTGCTGTTAGTACTTCAGGCTATCGGTGAGTGTGCCGTTAGTACTTCAGGCTATCGGTGAGTGTGCCATTAGTACTTCAGGCTATTGGTAAGTGCGCCATTAGTACTTCAGGCTATCAGTACGTGCGCCATTAGTACTTCAGGCTATCAGTACGTGCGCCATTAGTACCTCAGGCTATAGGTAAGTGCCTCCTTAGTACCGCAGGCTTTCAGTAAGTGCCTCCTTAGTACTTAGGCTATATGTAAGTACCCTGTAAGTACTCTGATAGTACTTCAGGCTATAGATAAGTACCCAAATAGTACTTCAGGCTGTAGGTAAGTACTCTGACAGTACTTCAGACTATAGATTAGAACCCTGATACTACTTCAGACAGTCTGTGTTTGAACTTTCAGTTTTTGGCCTTTTAAAGTTTTATATTGAGCCTGTATTGTCATATGCATGTGAAACATGGACAGTAATCAGACAAGCCGAGATACGATTGGTGGAATAAAAACATGGACAGTAATCAGAGAAGCCGAGATACGTTAGGTGGAATAAAAACATGGACAGTAATCAGAGAAGCCGAGATACGTTAGGTGGAATAAAAACATGGACAGTAATCAGACAAGCCGAGATACATTAGGTGGAATAAAAACATGGACATAAAAGATACATTTGGTGGAATGGACAGTAATCAGAGAAGCCGAGATACATTTGGTGGAGAGAAAACATGGACAGTTGGAAGCCAAGATGGTGGAATAAAAACATGGACAGTAATCAGACAAGCCGAGATACGATTGGTGGAATAAAAACATGGACAGTAATCAGAGAAGCCGAGATACGATTGGTGGAAGAAAAACATGGACAGTAATCAGAGAAGCCAAGATACGATTTGTGGAAGAAAAACATGGACAGTAATCAGAGAAGCCAAGATACGATTGGTGGAAGAAAAACATGGACAATAATAGGCATAGACATGACAAGACAGATCTGAGAGAAGAAGAGATGTGATCTGATAGCAGAAGAGATGTGATCTGATAGCAGAAGAGATGTGATCTGATAGCAGAAGAGATGTGATCTGATAGCAGAAGAGATGTGATCTGATAGCAGAAGATATGTGATTTGATAGCAGAAGAGATGTGATCTGATAGCAGAAGAGATGTGATCTGATAGCAGAAGAGATGTGATTTGATAGCAGAAGAGATGTGATTTGATAGCAGAAGAGATGTGATTTGATAGCAGAAGAGATGTGATCTGATAGCAGAAGAGATGTGATCTGATAGCAGAAGAGATGTGATCTGATAGCAGAAGAGATGTGATCTGATAGCAGAAGAGATGTGATCTGATAGCAGAAGAGATGTGATCTGATAGCAGAAGAGATGTGATCTGATAGCAGAAGAGATGTGATCTGATAGCAGAAGAGATGTGATCTGATAGCAGAAGAGATGTGATCTGATAGCAGAAGAGATGTGATCTGATAGCAGAAGAGATGTGATCTGATAGCAGAAGAGATGTGATCTGATAGCAGAAGAGATGTGATCTGATAGCAGAAGAGATGTGATCTGATAGCAGAAGAGATGTGATCTGATAGCAGAAGAGATGTGATCTGATAGCAGAAGAGATGTGATCTGATAGCAGAAGAGATGTGATCTGATAGCTGATAGCAGAAGAGATGTGATCTGATAGCAGAAGAGATGTGATCTGATAGCATGTGATGTGATCTGATAGCAGAAGAGATGTGATCTGATAGCAGAAGAGATGTGATCTGATAGCAGAAGAGATGTGATCTGATAGCAGAAGAGATGTGATCTGATAGCAGAAGAGATGTGATCTGATAGCAGAAGAGATGTGATCTGATAGCAGAAGAGATGTGATCTGATAGCAGAAGAGATGTGATCTGATAGCAGAAGAGATGTGATCTGATAGCAGAAGAGATGTGATCTGATAGCAGAAGAGATGTGATCTGATAGCAGAAGAGATGTGATCTGATAGCAGAAGAGATGTGATCTGATAGCAGAAGAGCAGAAGAGATGTGATCTGATAGCAGAAGAGATGTGATCTGATAGCAGAAGAGATGTGATCTGATAGCAGAAGAGATGTGATCTGATAGCAGAAGAGATGTGATCTGATAGCAGAAGAGATGTGATCTGATAGCAGAAGAGATGTGATCTGATAGCAGAAGAGATGTGATCTGATAGCAGAAGAGATGTGATCTGATAGCAGAAGAGATGTGATGTGATCTGATAGAAAGAGATGTGATCTGATAGCAGAAGAGATGTGATGATAGCAGAAGAGATGTGATCTGATAGCAGATCTGATAGCAGAAGAGATGTGATCTGATAGCAGAAGAGATGTGATCTGATAGCAGAAGAGATGTGATCTGATAGCAGAAGAGATGTGATCTGATAGCAGAAGAGATGTGATCTGATAGCAGAAGAGATGTGATCTGATAGCAGAAGAGATGTGATTTGAGAGAAGAATTAAGAGAACCCATGCACAGACAGAATAACAAACGAGGCAGTCACTTGAGAAAAACCTGAAAACTGTAGAGTGATTAGGGAAACAAGATGTGCTCAACATAGGTGTGTTAGTGTAAGCTTGCATGTAGGAACAGCTAGTTCACTTGGTGAGAAGAGAGTAAGAGCAAAGTAGAGATACAAACTGGCCACATGTTATAATCAGGACTGAAGCATAGACAATTTAAGACCAGTGATTGTGAGGGCAATTCACCCATGACTGCTGACACTTATTTCCGCATGTGAACAGTAGAAGAAGTCAGAGACCTCAGCTCTTGGGCACATCAGCAAATAGTGCTTGACCTAGATTTTTTATAGACCTTTGTGCACTCAGTAGATGATATAGTCAACATTGCGTCGGCCACCTTTACTTTCCAGGACATAACCTGGCATACATTTTAGGCTGGGTCCATCTGGGATCCAGATTCATTTTTAAAAAAAACATCTGTAGGATTGTACACTTGACCTTTAGGCCAGTAGGCACGCATTTAGCCACTACATCGTTGCAGCTCCCTTTATGAGCATTGAATATAGTAATACTACAAACTGCTTATGTTTGTTATTATTTCTGAGCCATTTATATATTATTTTTTTTTTTTACTTCTCAGTACTAACAGTGTGTGAGATTTCACTGCACAGCACAAACTTGTACTCGACCTCCCGCCTGCAGCTGACCAGTGTCACTGCCAGTTACACCATTCACCGCCTGCATGTGGCCGAGAAGATCTCCCGCAAGGCTACAGTTGCCTCTTCAGCTGTCCATGTGGCCAAGTCCCTGGCCAGTGCCATGTCCTTAATTATTGATCGCAACAATGGGGAGATAACTTTTCTAGAGATGGCAGCACTGGGGCTCATGATATATGTGGTGTTGTCGGTCTTTGTGTACGGAGTCACGGGCGACAAGTCTGGGTTTGAGGTGAGTCTGCCTTTCATTCTCTTCTGTGACGACTAATGATTGCACCTGAAGTCTCTAGTCTGTGTCATTTGATGTGTTTCCTGTGTGGGTTCCAGGGCCCCAGGATACTTGTGTCACCCAGCCACACTGGACTACAGGTTACATCTCAACCGTTTTATGGTGCCTCAGTTAACTGTGACAGGGTTTCTTGTATACGTACCTGTTTGATTCCCATCATTGAGAAACTGGTCATACAGAATGCAGATTTGGAGGGGAAAACTTTGTTTTTTTTTCAGTGGAACCCCATTTTTGGGTGGAAAAGAATCGACCCACTATCCGTTTAAAAACTATATTGTAAAAGGAAGGGGCACTGCATGGTCTCGAGGTATTGTGTCCGCCTCGAGTGCTGTAGGTCACGGTTTCAAGCCCCTGTGAAGGCTGGGATCTTTTCAAGTGGACTTCTAGTAATTTCCCCTGGTCTCTGGGTAGTGAGATTGGACGCCTGTGTGTATTGTTGCGTACATAAAAAAATCCCTTGGCAGTTGGAAATTGAAAAGAGTAGCCTAACAATGCTGCCCGGGCAAAAATTGGAGTTGAAAATCTACCTAAAATATTTCAGGGTCCTCACCGGTGCTACGGAGCCCGTGCACTGGGCTAAGCTGCTTTGACTCAAGGCTTGAGTTAAAAGTAGCACGGAGCATTATCATATTATGGGTTACTTCCATTGTGCCATGATGTTGATCTGTTGTTTTAACCTGAAATCTCAGTTGTATAAGGAACCAATCGTGGACTTGTTGAAATAGATTTGTTGAACCACAAGATGCAGATACTGTAGTCTAGCTGTAAACTAACCACAACATGCCATCTGCTCTGTTCTTGATGAGTGAAGAAGATTTGAAATGTTGTGTTTGAGGCGGACATATGGCTGTGAAACATGATTTTCTGCCACCTGCTGGCTGATGGACTTATCAAGGTAATTGTTTTTTTTTTAACTCTTCACACTATTTTTCTTTGCCTTCAGATTGCCAGCCAACTGTTGATGCTCCTGGGAGTTCTGGCTGTCAACAGTCATCACTTCTTGCTTCCCTTGTCCATGTTGATGTTTCAGGGCTCGGCATCCTACACAGACGTCATTGGTATGTTTTGTATGATGCTGTGGTTTGTGTGTCAGTGCTTTTGGCTTAGATGTGGTGACTGCGCTTTGTATTGTTGCTGTGCCAGGTTTGAATCCAGCTGCGGGCAGTCTGTTAGCAGACCGCCTTGCATTGGTTTCAACAGTGGTGTTGAGAGCCGACCATTTAGAAAGCAGTGGCAAACTACTAACATAAAACTACTAGTAAAACCACACAGCCAGACAGTGCTAGGGTTGGTTCTGTAACTTTAATAATTTGTGTGTGTTCCCAATAGCAAATCTTCTGAATAATTCTTTTCTCCACTTTTTTTTCAACGTTGTTGTCATTTTTGTTTTAATGAGAATAATGGCTTATTAATTCAGCAAGAGGAATCCATGGATTTAGGAGGTCACAAAGTATTTAATCTTATCAATAGATATAGTGAGAGGATAAAGTGAAGCTCATACTACGGACAACATTGTAGGTGTTGATAATTTATTTCAAGTGAACAAAAGAAGAGGAAGAAAGTGGAAATAATACATAGAAGTTTCTTTACACCTTGTGATGGCCCTGCTTTGCATGGTCTCCATGCACACAGAGAGCAAAGCTGAAAATCTGTGTGACAAACAACTGCACGAGAGTCTTGTGGCCAGATGAGTAGACGTGGGCAGGCCCGAACTAGACTCGTGTCAGTTGGTTACCAGAAGTAGTAGAAGACGGTTGTGTTAATAGAAGATGTAGTTCTTATGTCGTGTGAATGACCAGTGGTTGAGTATGTCGCAAGCGATGGAAGTGTGAATAATCGTTGGAGCATGTTGAATAAATGTAACAGAATAAACTGACAGCATGTACAAGGAAGCTAGGCGGCGTTTGTGTTATCAGTCCTAGACGTTAGAGCCGTGCAAGTAGACATGTTACAGAAATCATAGAGAGAGTGAACCGTGGCGAAAGCCGATAGGTCATAAGCCAAGGCACATTTCAAGGTTCATTCCAAGTTGGGGAACTCGTCCAAAGGAAATTCAAAAACCACGTAGACCACAATCATAGGAGAACATTTTGTTTCCTTCCAAGGTAAGACTTGAAAATGGTATACGATACAACAATGTCTTCACCCTAGCAGAACCTCAAAACCCAGCGAGCACCCCGACGGGACAGACGGCCAATGAAAAACAGTGTGCCAATCGAACACGTGCAAGCGCATAGTTGCGTGTAATCTACGCTCCGCCACAGACGGTATCACCAGGTTTTGTTGATTCAGGAAGTTGTATGTTCATCAAAGCTACACGTCGCAAATGATAAACCGGTAGAATTAATTGCAAAGCCTATGTATCCAGTTTGTGACCGTCATTGTTTTGCTTAAACTAGCAGACTACATGTTTGTAGAAAACATAAACTAATTTTGTATACACTAAGTTACTCTGTTTTCTAACCACTGAAGGTGGCTATATAATGCCTTAGAAAGGGCTGGTCGGCAGTCTCGTTTGGGCCAAGGAACGGAGTGCGTGAACAACCGTGGAATGTGTGTGGATAAAAAATGTGTCTGAGTATGATTGCAACTTCAACCCCCAACCTGGCCAACAGCAAAGCAAAACAGATGTCTGCCAGCTGTGTTATTCACCGTCAGAACAGCAGTTGTTCGTTCATTGTGCTTGTGTTAGGACGATTGTGATTTCGGCTAAAAGGTAAAGTGATAAATATGATTATTTGAGTTACAATGTATGCCCTGGACAGTAGTCTGTTTCATATTCCGGCTGAGGAAAGGCGAGTGGAAAAATAAAATGCAGAAATAGTCTTGTGTTGTTTCCAGTCGTCCATTTTTCTGCTCGTTGTGTTGAAGTAGGTGTGTGAAATAGGAATCTGCAGTGACTAGAGCCAGATGGAAGAGAACAGAGAGTCATTGCGCACCTCCCTGTAGGAGTATCTGATAGCAAAACACTTGACGAAAGAACAAGTGATTGCACAAACAGATACAGAAAGAACAAGTGATTGCACAAACAGATACAGAAAGAACAAGTGATTGCACAAACGGAGACAGAAAGAACAAGTGATTGCACAAATGGATACAGAAAGAACAAGTGATTGTACAAATAGATACAGAACGAACAATTGATTATATAATTAAGTTGTGCTGTTGAACGAACAAGTGATTATATAATTAAGTTGTGCTGTTGAACGAACAAGTGATTATATAATTAAGTTGTGCTGTTGAACGAACAAGTGATTATATAATTAAGTTGTGCTGTTATTTCTGGAACACTTGTATACTGTTTGCTTCAGGTCTCTGGTGCATGCTGGGAGGAGGATTGGCTCTGTTGTACAGTCGGACAATCAGCTCCGTGCACACCAGACAAGTACTCAAGCTGGCTCTAATCCTAGGGGTCATGGGAATCGTCATCATCGTCGTCCACCCACCACTTTCATTTACTGCGTGAGTTCACAATCGTCCTGTGTTTTCCTGTACTGCTAGATACCCTTGTGGGTACTGAAGTCCCATTATTTGAGGGCAGAATAGACGCATGCTACATAAAAGTGTGTCGTGAAAGGTAACTAATTAGGAAGTGAAGTAGATGATCCTTTTCCATGCCTTTAGGCATATTGGTTATGTGGGGCTAGACGTATACTTTATACACCAATCGGCACTCGTCGGGTGAATTGGTCGACATTATGCCAGCCTCAACATTAAGCCAGCCACCTTTATTTCCCAGAACTTAAACTGGTACCATTTAAGGTTTTGTCGACCTGAGAACCAGGTTCATTCTTTTACAGGCCTGCTCCATTCACGACTTGAACCCACGATCTTTTAATCAGCAGATGAATGTCTAGCAGCTACGCCACGATTGTTCCAGAGTAATTAGGACTTTGCTGAAATTGTAAGGGTTGTGTCAGGAGGTACAGATATCACAACCTCACTGTCAACCACAATACAATGTGCCAGCTGCCATTTTATGGATGAACACAGCAGGCGTACTGTTTGCGGCAGCTAATATTCTTGTTATCTGTGAATGCTTACATCTTGTGACGACAATTACACTTTCTTATGGGTCTTGTGTTTGGCCTGTTTCTGTCTTGTCTTGTCTTGTCTTGTCGTGTCCACAATTGCCTCACAGCGTAGTGGGGAGTCGCAGTTTTCTATCCTGGGCCAGGTGTGTTGCACGTGTTGTTGTTAGTCCGTGTTGCCTCAGGATCTCTGATATATTGTCTATCCATCGTACTCTCGGTCTGCCTCTTGCTCTAGGGCAGTAGTGCTGTTCGTTGTATGCTCGTAGAGGCAGTTGGTTGGTTTGCATTCGCATCAAGTGGCCAAACCACTCTATTTGTTGCTTCTTTATGTATTGCAGGCATGGTGTGGTTCCTACAATTGCTCTAATGTTCTCGTTTTGAACTCTGTCTCTCCTTGTGACATTGGCAGCCTTACGTAAGCATCTCATTTCGCACGTCAAGATCTTTTTCTCCTGTGCTCTTGTTAGGGACCAGGTTTGGCATTGGTAGCAGAGGGTTGGTATAAACATGCAATTTATCAGTTGTCGTTTTAGTGCCATAGTGATGCTTGGGTGTTTTAGCAGTGGGGAGAGTTGGTAAGTTACTGCGTTTGCCTTTTGACATCTTGCCTCAAGTTCCCTATCAATTCTTCCATCATCTGTGAAGATGCTCCCCAAGTATTTAAATTGCTGCACTTGTTTGAGTTGTTCGTTGTTAACTTGAATAGTTAGTATATTAGGTGTTCTACTTATTTTCAGAATTTCTGTTTAGGTGATGCTGATCTTCATGTTATATTCGTTGCAGACTGTGTGTAGCGCATTTACGCCTGTTTCTGTACCTCTTCATATATGACTGACTGGCGTTTTACCCCACCACAATATCACACCGATAAACTCCCGGTTACACTAAATGCCACCATTCGGATGAGGCTCATCCGTGGAAAGGTCCCAGAAACACCGTTCACATCATAGGTTGGGTTCTATTCAGGTTCCCAACAACAGAAATTGCATCCCACATGGCAATGGAGAAGAATATTTTCATATATGCTCAACTAAAACATATGCTTTTCTACCTCAAGGTAGAAGTTGAAAGAATATGAATTGAGTGTAAGATTTCTTTCCACAGTTGTTGGTTGTGAACGTATGAAACAAACTAGTCACAATAACCTTTTCTTAAATTATATTTGCCTAATTGTTTTCTTTTCAGTTACTCGGTGTTTCAGTGGTTGGAAATTATCAGCATCTTTATCTTGGCAGTCATTCTGTCATTGAAGGTAGAGTTATCACCCCAGATGGTGGTAGTTATCTCCCATGTTCTGGCTGTATGTCTGGGACTACGCATATGTATTTATGTAAGTTATAATTCCTGCTGATGAGTGTCATTTTTTATTAGTGTCAGAACGTTTGTAAAAAGCATAAGTTTGCCTGACATTACTGTTATAAAAGATGATGGAAATAGAATATTCTATATATTTGTCCCATCATGATAGATTACTTTAATGTTTTTTTCAAGTTACAATATACGAATGCTGATACATATCATGTGACGCTAATCTTATCTGAAGTGCTTGTAGTGCACAGGTGTGACCTTGACAGTCATTTATGTGTGCATTACACCACATGGTGTGGTGGTCGACAGACTCTTGGAACACCACATGGTGTGAGGGTCGACAGACTCTTGGAACACCACATGGTGTGGTGGTCGACAGACTTTTGGAACACCACATGGTGTGAGGGTCGACAGACTCTTGGAACACCACATGGCGTGGTGGTCGACAGACTTTTGGAACACCATATGGTGTGAGGGTCGACAGACTCTTGGAACACCATATGGTGTGGTGGTTGACAGACTCTTGTAACACCACATGGCGTGGTGGTCGACAGACTCTTGGAACACCACATAGTGTGGTGGTCGACAGACTCTTGGAACACCACATGGTGTGGTGGTCGACAGACTCTTGGAACACCACATGGTGTGGTGGTCGACAGACTCTTGGAACACCACATGGTGTGGTGGTCGACAGACTCTTGGAACACCACATGGTGTGGTGGTCGACAGACTCTTGGAACACCACATGGTGTGGTGGTCGACAGACTCTTGGAACACCACATGGTGTGGTGGTCGACAGACTCTTGGAACACCACATGGCGTGGTGGTCGACAGACTTTTGGAACACCACATGGTGTGAGGGTCGACAGACTCTTGGAACACCATATGGTGTGGTGGTTGACAGACTCTTGGAACACCACATGGCGTGGTGGTCGACAGACTCTTAGAACACCACATAGTGTGGTGGTTGACAGACTCTTGGAACACCACATGGTGTGGTGGTCGACAGACTCTTGGAACACCACATGGTGTGGTGGTCGACAGACTCTTGGAACACCACATGGTGTGGTGGTCGACAGACTCTTGGAACACCACATGGTGTGGTGGTCGACAGACTCTTGGAACACCACATGGTGTGGTGGTCAACAGACTCTTGGAACACCACATGGTGTGGTGGTCAACAGACTCTTGGAACACCACATGGTGTGGTGGTCGACAGACTCTTGGAACACCACATGGTGTGGTGGTCGACAGACTCTTGGAACACCACATGGTGTGGTGGTCGACAGACTCTTGGAACACCACATGGTGTGGTGGTTGACACACTCTTGGAACACCACATGGTGTGGTGGTCGACAGACTCTTGGAACACCACATGGCGTGGTGGTCGACAGACTCTTGGAACACCACATGGCGTGGTGGTCGACAGACTCTTAGAACACCACATAGTGTGGTGGTCGACAGACTCTTGGAACACCACATGGCGTGGTGGTCGACAGACTCTTAGAACACCACATGGTGTGGTGGTCGACAGACTCTTGGAACACCACATGGTGTGGTGGTCGACAGACTCTTGGAACACCACATGGTGTGGTGGTCGACAGACTCTTGGAACACCACATGGTGTGGTGGTCGACAGACTCTTGGAACACCACATGGTGTGGTGGTCGACAGACTCTTGGAACACCACATGGTGTGGTGGTCGACAGACTCTTGGAACACCACATGGTGTGAGGGTCGACAGACTCTTGGAACACCACATGGTGTGGTGGTCGACAGACTCTTGGAACACCACATGGTGTGGTGGTCGACAGACTCTTGGAACACCACATGGTGTGGTGGTCGACAGACTCTTGGAACACCACATGGTGTGGTGGTCGACAGACTCTTGGAACACCACATGGTGTGGTGGTCGACAGACTCTTGGAACACCACATGGTGTGGTGGTCGACAGACTCTTGGAACACCACATGGTGTGAGGGTCGACAGACTCTTGGAACACCACATGGTGTGAGGGTGAACAGACTCTTGGAACACCACATGGTGTGGTGGTCGACAGACTCTTGGAACACCACATGGTGTGGTGGTCGACAGACTCTTGGAACACCACATGGTGTGGTGATCGACAGACTCTTGGAACACCACATGGTGTTAGGGTCGACAGACTCTTGGAACACCACAGTTCAACATTAAGGGTCAGACTTGGAACCTATACACAGATATCGGCAGGGCGCTAGGATACATTAAAGAGACCATGATAACTTACAACAGAGCAAGAATTTTGTTTTTTAAAGCAGTCACAGTACACCATACTATTACCTGTAAGAACTCTCCAGCTGTGGAGATAGAGAGCTCTTAACAGTTTGGCTAGAGGCCTAGAATCAGCATTGAAGGCCTGGGGTTAGTGCAGGAGAAGGTGAAACCTAGGGTTGATGCAGAAGATGGGGCAGCCTAGGCTTGATTTAGAAGAAGGTGTAGCTTTGGCTGGATACAGGAGAAGGTGTAGTCTAAGCTTGATGCAGGAGAAGGTGTAGTCTAAGCTTGATGCAGGAGAAGGTGTGGTCTAAGCTTGATGCAGGAGAAGGTATAGTCTAAGCTTGATGCAGGAGAAGGTATATATGCTTGATGCAGGAGAAGGTATAGTCTATGCTTGATGCAGGAGAAGGTGTAGTCTAAGCTTGATGCAGGAGAAGGTGTAGTCTATGCTTGATGCAGGAGAAGGTATAGTCTAAGCTTGATGCAGGAGAAGGTATAGTCTATGCTTGATGCAGGAGAAGGTATAGTCTATGCTTGATGCAGGAGAAGGTATAGTCTATGCTTGATGCAGGAGAAGGTATAGTCTATGCTTGATGCAGGAGAAGGTGTAGTCTAAGCTTGATGCAGGAGAAAGTATAGTCTAAGCTTGATGCAGGAGAAGGTATAGCCTATGCTTGATGCAGGAGAAGGTGTAGCCTAGGCTGGATACAGGAGAAGGTGTAGCCTATGGTTGATGCAGGAGAAGGTTATTTTTCAAGGATTTCAGTCAATATGCTTGTAGAGGAAGATGTGCTGTAGAGGAAGATGTGCTGTAGAGGAAGATGTGCTGTAGAGGAAGATGTGCTGTAGAGGAAGATGTGCTGTAGAGGAAGATGTGCTGTAGAGGAAGATGTGCTGTAGAGGAAGATGTGCTGTAGAGGAAGGTGTGCTGTAGAGGAAGGTGTGCTGTAGAGGAAGATGTGCTGTAGAGGAAGATGTGCTGTAGAGGAAGGTGTGCTGTAGAGGAAGATGTGTTGTAGAGGAAGGTGCATTATAGAGGAAGATGTGCCGTAGAGGAAGGTGCATTATAGAGGAAGATGTGCTGCAGAGGAAGATGTGCTGCAGAGGAAGATGTGCTGCAGAGGAAGATGTGCTGTAGAGGAAGAATTTACTACATAATGCATGCACACATATTGTAACTTTTTGGTACCTTATGTAAATATATTTACATATGCTCACCAAAATTTTAGTGTGCAAAAATGATTTTGTGTACATAATTGTAAATTAGAATAGGTAGACTAAATAAGTTTGTAATGAGGATTTTCATGCATATAATGGTAAAACAGAAAATTAGCAGTGCAGTTAGTCGACTCTATGCTATGGTAGTAAAGAATATTCTATAGATTTTGTGCTGTCTGGTCTGTGGTAGAAAAGAAAAGTCTACATATTCTGTGCTGTCTGGTCTGTGGTAGTAGAGAATAGTCTACATGTTCTGTGCTGTCTGGTCTGTGTTAGTAGAGAATAGTCTACATGTTCTGTGTTGTCTGGTCTGTGGTAGTAGAGAATAGTCTACATGTTCTGTGCTGTCTGGTCTGTGGTAGTAGAGAATAGTCTACATGTTCTGTGTTGTCTGGTCTGTGGTAGTAGAGAATAGTCTACATGTTCTGTGTTGTCTGGTCTGTGGTAGTAGAGAATAGTCTACATATTCTGTGTTGTCTGGTCTGTGGTAGTAGAGAATAGTCTACATATTCTGTGCTGTCTGGTCTGTGGCTGTGGTAGTAGATAATAGTCTACATATTCTGTGTTGTCTGGTCTGCAGCTGTGGTAGTAGAGAATAGTCTACATGTTCTGTGTTGTCTGGTCTGCAGCTGTGGTAGTAGAGAATAGTCTACATATTCTGTGCTGTCTGGTCTGTGGTAGTAGAGAATAGTCTACATATTCTGTGCTGTCTGGTCTGTGGTAGTAGAGAATAGTCTACATATTCTGTGCTGTCTGGTCTGTGGTAGTAGAGAATAGTCTACATGTTCTGTGCTGTCTAGTCTGTGGTAGTAGAGAATAGTCTACATGTTCTGTGTTGTCTGGTCTGCAGCTGTGGTAGTAGAGAATAGTCTACATGTTCTGTGTTGTCTGGTCTGCAGCTGTGGGCGGAAGTGACCCTCCTGTATGCTGTGCTGTGTGTGGTCGACAGTATAGCAGTGCTGATCCTGGTCTTTGTTTGTGTGGTCATCACGGAGATGACCGACATCTCCGACAGGATCATGAAGATCAGGTTAGACTGTATTGATTTTATTTATTTTGTTTGAGAATCACAGAGTCGACTAACATTTCTTACAGAATCATCACAAGTTCAGTCAACTCATTTTTGATTGTTTGAATATCACAGACACTTCTGTCTTTGGCAGAGAATCATCAAGTTTTCAAGCAATGTGTTTGTTGACTGTCTCTGTAACTAAATTACCAAGTGAAATATGTTGGAATGTCAAAAAGATGTAAAGATTTGTTATAATGTTTATTCCCTGTATTGGTTCTGGGGCCCCATTGGAAGAGGGGGTGTGGGGGATAAACTGACTGCCTCCTGACAAGCATGCTGTAAAAGGTCAGCAGTTATGCCTATTTTTTCACAGTCGGAGTTCATCTGCCTGAGAGGCAAGGAACCAAGAGTCAACACAAATATGCCAGATATGTCAAATAGATATGCACTTAAAACTCAAGTTCCTGAACATGTCAAAAGTTCAGACTTTGGACAAACAACCGAAACTTTCTGCCAGAGTTAAGAACCAGTGAATGTGAAGAAGAGGAAGAACACAGAGGGCATAATTTTTCATCGTTATGAGCTTATTCATTGGGTTTTGTGAACTTCTGGTCCCAGTCGTACCACATCTAGACCAGCCAGGGACCAGCATTGGGTTTTGTGAACTTCTGGCCCCAGTCGTCCCAGTCGTACCACATCTAGACCAGCCAGGGACCAGCATTGGGTTTTGTGAACTTCTGGCCCCAGTCGTACCACATCTAGACCAGCCAGGGACCAGCATTGGGTTTTGTGAACTTCTGGCCCCAGTCATACCACATCTAGACCAGCCAGGGACCAGCATTGGGTTTTGTGAACTTCAGGCCCCAGTCGTACCACATCTACACCAGTGAGGGACTAGCATTGGGTTTTGTGAACTTCTGGCCCCAGTCGTACCACATCTAGACCAGCCAGGGACCAGCATTGGGTTTTGTGAACTTCTGGCCCTAGTCGTACCACATTTAGACCAGCCAGGGACGAGCATTGGGTTTTGTGAACTTCTGGCCCCAGTCGTACCACATCTAGACCAGCCAGGGACCAGCATTGGGTTTTGTGAACTTCTGGCCCCAGTCGTACCACATCTAGACCAGCCAGGGAGCAGCATTGGGTTTTGTGAACTTCTGGCCCCAGTTGTACCACATCTAGACCAGCCAGGGACCAGCATTGGGTTTTGTGAACTGCTGGCCCAGTTGTACCACATCTAGACCAGCCAGGGACCAGCATTGGGTTTTGTGAACTGCTGGGCCCAGTCGTACCACATCTAGACCAGCCAGGGACCAGCATTGGGTTTTGTGAACTTCTGGCCCCAGTCGTACCACATCTAGACCAGCCAGGGACCAGCATTGGGTTTTGTGAACTTCTGGCCCTAGTCGTACCACATCTAGACCATCCAGGGACCAGCATTGGGTTTTGTGAACTTCTGGCCCCAGTCGTACCACATCTAGACCAGCCAGGGACCAGCATTGGGTTTTGTGAACTTCTGGCCCCAGTCGTACCACATCTAGACCAGCCAGGGACCAGCATTGGGTTTTGTGAACTTCTGGCCCCAGTCGTACCACATCTAGACCAGCCAGGGACCAGCATTGGGTTTTGTGAACTTCTGGCCCCAGTCGTACCACATCTAGACCAGCCAGGGACCAGCATTGGGTTTTGTGAACTGCTGGGCCCAGTCGTACCACATCTAGACCAGCCAGGGACCAGCATTGGGTTTTGTGAACTTCTGGCCCCAGTCGTACCACATCTAGACCAGCCAGGGACCAGCATTGGGTTTTGTGAACTTCTGGCCCCAGTCATACTACATCTAGACCAGCCAGGGACCAGCATTGGGTTTTGTGAACTTCTGGCCCCAGTCGTACCACATCTACACCAGTGAGGGACTAGCATTGGGTTTTGTGAACTTCTGGCCCCAGTCGTACCACATCTAGACCAGCCAGGGACCAGCATTGGGTTTTGTGAACTTCTGGCCCTAGTCGTACCACATTTAGACCAGCCAGGGACGAGCATTGGGTTTTGTGAACTTCTGGCCCCAGTCGTACCACATCTAGACCAGCCAGGGACCAGCATTGGGTTTTGTGAACTTCTGGCCCCAGTCGTACCACATCTAGACCAGCCAGGGACCAGCATTGGGTTTTGTGAACTTCTGGCCCCAGTCGTACCACATCTAGACCAGCCAGGGACCAGCATTGGGTTTTGTGAACTTCTGGCCCCAGTCATACTACATCTAGACCAGCCAGGGACCAGCATTGGGTTTTGTGAACTTCTGGCCCCAGTCGTACCACATCTACACCAGTGAGGGACTAGCATTGGGTTTTGTGAACTTCTGGCCCCAGTCGTACCACATCTAGACCAGCCAGGGACCAGCATTGGGTTTTGTGAACTTCTGGCCCTAGTCGTACCACATTTAGACCAGCCAGGGACGAGCATTGGGTTTTGTGAACTTCTGGCCCCAGTCGTACCACATCTAGACCAGCCAGGGACCAGCATTGGGTTTTGTGAACTTCTGGCCCCAGTCGTACCACATCTAGACCAGCCAGGGAGCAGCATTGGGTTTTGTGAACTTCTGGCCCCAGTTGTACCACATCTAGACCAGCCAGGGACCAGCATTGGGTTTTGTGAACTGCTGGCCCAGTTGTACCACATCTAGACCAGCCAGGGACCAGCATTGGGTTTTGTGAACTGCTGGGCCCAGTCGTACCACATCTAGACCAGCCAGGGACCAGCATTGGGTTTTGTGAACTTCTGGCCCCAGTCGTACCACATCTAGACCAGCCAGGGACCAGCATTGGGTTTTGTGAACTTCTGGCCCCAGTCGTACCACATCTAGACCAGCCAGGGAGCAGCATTGGGTTTTGTGAACTTCTGGCCCCAGTCGTACCACATCTAGACCAGCCAGGGACCAGCATTGGGTTTTGTGAACTTCTGGACCCAGTCGTACCACATCTAGACCAGCCAGGGACCAGCATTGGGTTTTGTGAACTTCTGGCCCTAGTCGTACCACATCTAGACCAGCCAGGGACCAGCATTGGGTTTTGTGAACTTCTGGCCCCAGTCGTACCACATCTAGACCAGCCAGGGACCAGCATTGGGTTTTGTGAACTTCTGGACCCAGCCGTACCACATCTAGACCAGCCAGGGAGCAGCATTGGGTTTTGTGAACTTCTGGACCCAGTCGTACCACATCTAGACCAGCCAGGGAGCAGCATTGGGTTTTGTGAACTTCTGGACCCAGTCGTACCACATCTAGACCAGTGAGGGACCAGCATTGGGTTTTGTGAACTTCTGGACCCAGTCATACCACATCTAGACCAGTGAGGGACCAGCATTGGGTTTTGTGAACTTCTGGACCCAGTCGTACCACATCTAGACCAGCCAGGGACCAGCATTGGGTTTTGTGAACTTCTGGACCCAGTCGTACCACATCTAGACCAGCCGGGGACCAGCATTGGGTTTTGTGAACTTCTGGCCCCAGTCGTACTACATCTAGACCAGCCAGGGACCAGCATTGGGTTTTGTGAACTTCTAGACCCAGTCATACCACATCTACACCAGCCAGGGACCAGCATTGGGTTTTGTGAACTTCTGGCCTCAGTCATACCACATCTAGACCAGTGAGGGACCAGCATTGGGTTTTGTGAACTTCTGGCCCCAGTCGTACCACATCTACACCAGCCAGGGAACAGCATTGGGTTTTGTGAACTTCTGGCCTCAGTCGTACCACATCTAGACCAGCCAGGGACCAGCATTGGGTTTTGTGAACTGCTGGGCCCAGTCGTACCACATCTACACCAGCCAGGGAACAGCAGTGACTCTCTGGCAGTCTTACAGCAGGCCAAGTTTGTAGTACTTGCCAGGTTGCATCACAATGGAGATCATAGTTAGTCCTCTCGCCATTAGCTAGACTAGTATCTATATTCCAAGATGTTGCAGGAGCAGGGAAAGGGATGTCTTGATCACTGGAAGATCTTAACCTGGCTTCTCAAGGTCCTTAGTTATCCCAGTTATGATAAACTTTTACTGGGCAGCATGAAGTCACCTATCAAATGTACTTTCAAATCTTTCTTTCAGCATTGCTACAGCAGTCAGTTGCAGCATATGTTTGCTGATTGCTGATGTGGTTGGTTACTTCTCCTCATCACCGTCACACATGCCCCTGTCATTGCTACAGCTGCCAGCCTGGAAGGCTGTACTTGTCACATTCCTTCTAGTCTCCGTCATCTTGAAGGTGGTCCACTCTACCAAGGTATTCCTCATTGCTCATGAAATATTAGATTAGCATTGATAGATTATGCAAAGCAGGAGGAGACAACTGCAAAATCAAATGCTCGATCTCATAACACCTAGATTACAATATCTAAAGCACTGAAAAGGTCATTTGTCTTAAAAGGCTCCGAAACATGGAGCACAACTAAAAGAGATAAAGCTTTCGTTAACAAAATGTAAGAGTCTTACATCAAGTCTTTCGCCACTCACAGATGCTATCACTAGGGAATAGGGAGTGCGAAGTAACAAGGACATTCATCATCTGTGAAATCACCCTTGGTCACTGGCATCTTGAGACTGTAATAGCTGGGTATATACAGAGAATGGTAGATAACGAGGCAAAAACTGTGTACACATGGGAGTTGAATGGCCATTGACCACAAGACAGACCAAGAAGATGGTGGAGAAACAGACCTACGAGCACATGGAGTCACCAACAGTCACGGAGGTGAGTGATATCTGCAGCAATGAACCTCATGGGCTCGGAATGCTAAAGCAGAAGGAGGAAATGGAGCCGGCAGGAAGCTTGTAAACAGGTGAATCTGCTGTTACCCCTCACCTGAAATGAGTACAGTAACCTACTGCTTTCTAAGGAGTCGGGGGAGGGGGGAATCACCTACAGAGCATTTTGGGCTATTAAATTAAAAACAGACAGTAAACAATACAATCCAATGTTGCACATTGAGAGATGATAAGGCTGCTCAGTTAACTCTTTAAGGATGAATTTTTTTTTCTGGGGTTTGGACGGCAACAATTTTGAGGTAAATGTTTTTACTGCAACATGACAAAGCCAAAACCTTCCTGAGGAATAAATATTGGCTGTAAAATGACATATCATGTGTTGAATTAAAGAGAAATGAATACAGAATACATCTAAAATATTTAAGGGTCAGTATTACAGCAAATAAAATATTTAAATGACACAACATTCAAGGCTGTTAGACATACATGAAGATTGTTTTATACATGAAATATTGTGCTTACCTTACTTTTTTACTTGATCTGCAACACTGTTATACATTTCTAAGAATTCCTATGCCTTCTCCATCTAGACAGTCCACAACAATTATATCTGTAACAGCAGCACTATGGACAGTTTCAGACCTTTTTCCTTACCATTTGGTCTGGACAATCCACAACAATTTTATCACACTGATTTAATTAAAAACAAATCAAATAATTAAACATATTGCCTCACCCACCATGCTTAGAAAACGATAATACTTCCATTTGCTAATTCTAGTTTTTTAAAACACATTCATACAAATTCATGTTCATACCAAACAAAACTATATTAGAGTGTCATTACCAAGAGCTAATATATCAGCAGTTCGGCAAAAGAGGACAGATTCTCGTGTCAATATATCGATGATGCGTTCTGAAAGAGTTCAGCAGAAATTCTAACTGAGCATACTATAAGTAATTGAAGAATTAATATAAAGATTTGGACTCGACATTGTTTGTAATGATATGAGAAAACACGGGCTTAGTGCAGTGAATAGAAATTGTTGACACATTTTTGCTGAGGAAAATCAGTTTGTTATGGGAGTTAGCGTTTAGATAATTCTGTATAGTACAGAACATAACTGATTCTTCACACTTCATGGGTGTTTCTGTGTAGTTTAGATCATAAGTAATTCTATGCAGTACAGATCATAGATGAGGAGTGGCTGGCTGAATGGTTAAGGATGCTGCGCTCTTATACGGGAGATCCAGGTTCAAATCCCCAGTATGGTTGAGGCATTTTTACCTGTCTGGGGCAAAAATAAAATCCTAACCTGCACAGTCTGTGGCAATAGCACAAGTCATGTGGCCCTAAATCCTCGGGCTCAGATACCCCCACACACACTACGAAAAATGAGAAATTTTGGCAGTCTTTGAAACAGACCATAGATAATTGTATCTAGTTTTAAACACACCTGTCTCAGACTATCATTGTTGGGTGTTTGCTTTGTTTCAGGGCCCAGACAAACTACCCATGACAAGTGAAGACAGTCCTGGCAGAGTTACCCTCCCTCTCATTGGCAACCTCTGCACGGTGATTACATTTCTGGTGGCCTGCAGTCAGGGTCCGGCTGATCCCACACTCCATGACTTGTGGGTATGTTGCCTGTGTTTGATCTCATTGTGCTCACTTGATACACTGGAGATCACCATGTACACAGGCTGTGTCTGTGTAACTATGAGGTCCTCAGATTGTAGATTGTATCGATTAGGTTGATATGCTATTGTTATTGTAGATTGTATCCATAAGGTTGATATGCTATTGTTATTGTAGATCATAAGGTTGATATACTATTGTTATTGTAGATCATAAGGTTGATATACTATTGTTATTGTAGATCATAAGGTTGATATACTATTGTTATTGTAGATCATAAGGTTGATATACTATTGTTATTGTAGATCATAAGGTTGATATACTATTGTTATTGTAGATCATAAGGTTGATATAATATTGTTATTGTAGATCATAAGGTTGATATACTATTGTTATTGTAGATCATAAGGTTGATATACTATTGTTATTGTAGATCATAAGGTTTATATAGACTATTTTGAGCTTAGAGCCTGGGGTTCATATACTTCATCTTCTTCTCTTCCTGCAGTTACTTGATCAAATGTTGGGGGAGTTGTAACGATCTTTGTTTGCTCTTTCCAATGTGTTGTTTAAGTTAGTGTTCATCTCCTTAAAGCTGTGCTTGATGACATTATTCCATTACTTCATCAAGTGTGGGGGGGAGTTGTAACAATCTTTGTTTGCTCTTTCCAATGTGTTGTTTAAGTTAGTGTTCATCTCCTTAAAACTGTGCTTGATGACATTATTCCATTACTTTATCAAGTGTGGGGGGGAGTTGTAACGATCTTTGTTTGCTCTTTCCAATGTGTTGTTTAAGTTAGTGTTCATCTCCTTAAAGCTGTGCTTGATGCCATTATTCCATTTCTTCATGGTCTTCTGCTTGCTCCATGTCCATTGTATTTCTTTGGCCTGTCTCTCTGTGGCGGTTAGTACCGGGGCATTCTCATCAGCTGGCCAGACTATCTCATCTTTTGCTCTTTAATAAACTATTTGGCTGGTTTCTCATCTCTTATGATTTTGTGTTTATAAGTTTTAGAAAGAGTCCAAGTTTGACACTGGAAGTATAAAATTAGCCACAGAATAATTTTCATTAGATTGTTCATACTTTAGAATTCACAAACCAAAAGGGTCGAAGATTATTTTGGGCATGGGCCATCAGTTCATAGACAAGAATTCATAAGTCATAAGGTTCATATACTATTTTATTCATAGACCATGACGTTCTTAGATTAAAGCTCGTTTACCATGAAGTTCATAGATTAAAGTGCATAGAATAAAGTGCATGTACTGTCAAGTTTATAAATGAGGTTAAAGTAATTAGATAAGAAGTCGGTGAGCTGCATCACTCATTTGTTAGTTTATTGTTAACTGTCCCAGTTATTTGACCAATGGCATGCAGTTAACAATACTTATTGGGTCAAGTGAATAAATAATGACAGATCAAAGAGTGAAAATGATCATCTTTACAAGAATACAATTACTTATAATGGAAACGATATTGTGGTTAGAAAGTCTTCATCAGCACACAAAAAACAAAAAATTACCATTTTATCCACTTATTTTGTGAAAAATCATAGGTGCAATCGAAAGCTATTACTAACGTGTGTATTATTGTTTCAATAATTTCTAGTGCTGCGCTTGGACAGTCGTCTTAGCCTGTCTACACCAAGACACAATCTTCTTACGAAACCTGGCTGGCAGTAAACAGGCCAGCCCCATCATCATGGCATCCGTGGCCACCTTAGTCATCTCCACAATCATCCACTCACGATTGTGGTTATTAGCCTGTGCATCCTCAATCATCGGTGGATTTACCGAAGTGTTGCTGGTATTTCTCACATTCCCCGTCTTCTATGCCGCTTGGGTGATTTTATGGGAAGGTAAAGTTGTGTTTGAGCCTGCCGTGGTGTTTTTAACCCCGTACAGCCTGTTGTTGGTGATGCTAGCCACAACGTACACCGCCTGGATTCTGGCGGCAGCCTGCCTTGTCATGGGATTCTGGATGATGAAATTTAAACTACCCATGGTTCCTTACAACAGTGATCCGGCCGATCATTACAGATGATTCATTTCCATTGATGTGCTTCAGTATCTGTGTGTGACTTTAATTAATATTTACGTGTCCACTGCCGTATATGTATGTGGTAATGTAGGGTTGATAATATGTGGATGTAAACTGTTTTGAGGTGATAGGGAAATGTCTGGTTGGGCCACTAGTTTGGGATGTCTGAAGGGCTGCAACTTTCTTCCAGTGGATACCGGTTAGATCTTTCTCTCTTTCTTCCCCTATCTCATGTGTAAATCGTCACCAGCTTGTGTTATTGTATGTGTGTCTTGATTATTTCTTCTAGCTCTCTACCTGCCTGCCACATGGATAGTTGTTCTTTGTGTTTCGTCTCTGCTTACACTAACCCATGTCATTCTCTTACAGACATTATTTGTGTCTCTCTCTTGCCCTCTCTTCAGTGACAAGCAGGCTTCAACTCCCTTACCTCCTCTTTCACCCTCTTTATATTTCATTTTCTCCCTCTCTATTTTCCCAGCTCCCTATTTTTCTCTCCTTTTCACTTTTCTCTCAGTCCCTTTTCCTTCGCCCTCTCCATAAGGGTGCCTGCAGGAGCTGGTCACCTGTCTGTGCCCTGGTGCTCCACTGGAGCCTAGCAGGTGGGACATGAAACACAAAGATAGTTTGTGTTTAGAGAGAACAGGTTCAGCAGTTCAAGGGAGCTTGCATTGTTTGAGATCACTGATGTTGAGAATATTTATTGTGTTCAGCAGCACAAGGGAGCATGCATTGTTCGAGATCACTGATGTTGAGAATGTTTATTGTGTTCAGCAGCACAAGGGAGCTTGCATTGTTTGAGATCACTGATGATGAGAATGTTTATTGTGTTCAGCAGCACAAGGGAGCTTGCATTGTTCGAGATCACTGATGTTGAGAATGTTTATTGTGTTCAGCAGCACAAGGGAGCTTGCATTGTTCGAGATCACTGATGTTGAGAATGTTTATTGTGTTCAGCAGCACAAGGGAGCTTGCATTGTTCGAGATCACTGATGTTGAGAATGTTTATTGTGTTCAGCAGCACAAGGGAGCTTGCATTGTTTGAGATCACTGATGATGAGAATGTTTATTGTGTTCAGCAGCACAAGGGAGCTTGCATTGTTCGAGATCACTGATGTTGAGAATATTTATTGTGTTCAGCAGCACAAGGGAGCTTGCATTGTTTGAGATCACTGATGATGAGAATGTTTATTGTGTTCAGCAGCACAAGGGAGCTTGCATTGTTCGAGATCACTGATGTTGAGAATGTTTATTGTGTTCAGCAGCACAAGGGAGCTTGCATGGTTCGAGATCACTGATGATCGGAATATTTGTTTTGTGCTGCTCACAGCAGAGAGGCAGATACAGAGACAGTGATGAGAGGATAGATAATGAGTTAACTTGTGTCGATCGTAGAGAACAAGTTTTTACAGACGATGAGTTGTAAAGTGAGACACTTATACATTTAGGGCTGCCTGTGTGGATATTGCCTTATATGTGTCAGTGACAGATCATTCAGGTCTTACACTAAAAGTTTTTTAAGGGTGGGGGTAGATATTTTTCTGTTCAGAACGATACAAGTTAGAGCATGTCTGTTAGTTAGTGAATGTCTAGATGTGTGCTACAGGGTTTGTAGTGTGAGTTGCTGAGGCTGTGGCCTGCCTTGTTTGGCGTGTGCTCCCTTGTTGCTAGTCATTTTGCCCCCTGCTTTGTTGCTTGTTGTCTTTTGTTGGTATTTGTTTTGTTGTTGTTACTAGTTGACTGTAAACTGCAAGAATGTACTGTGGCTGTGTTTTAACTGAAATAAATATTCCATTGCCAGTAGTCTGTATCAACAACAATTGTTGCTACTGATAGAACAATTGAACTATTTCCACACTTTATGTGAAACACACAGGCTTGCATTTCTGTTTGTTTATATATTTATATATATTTTGTAAATAAAAAAGTTAGATACTGAGTACAAGTTATACATGTAATTCCTTATCCATTGCATTATTTTCTGTGAGATAGGCATCTTCTCATTGTCTGTGAGATATCTTCTTCTTCTTCTTCTTCTTCTTTGCGTTCACCAGCTGTACACTCTGGTGGAAAGTTCTGGTTGTTCGTCCACTTCTGAACTGCAGTCCTGCTCCAGAACCTGAGTGTTGCATGTGCATCAGTTTTACAGATCTGATTCACTTGAATGCACACTGTTGGTTCCTTACCTCTCAGGCAGACGCCCTCCGACTTCAAAGGAAGCTCCTCAGTTAATCGACTCTTACGACATGCTTTTGGGTAGGCAGTGGGTCGATTCTTGTTTTCCCCACAATGGGGCCCCGGAACCTGCAGGAGAAGTCTGTGAGATATGTTTCTTCTCATAGTCTGTGAGATATTTTATTCATCTGCTCATTGTCTGTGAGATATGTTTCTTCTCATTGTCTGTGAGATATGTTTCTTCTCATTGTCTGTAAGATATGTTTCTTCTCATTGTCTGAGATATTTGATTCATCTGCTCATTGTCTGTGGGATATGTTTCTTCTCATTGTCTGTGAGATATTTTTCTTCTCATTGTCTGTGAGATGTTTGATTCATCTGCTCATTGTCTGTGAGATATTTGATTCATCTGCTCATTGTCTGTGAGATATGTTTCTTCTCATTGTCTGTGAGATAACCATCTGCTCATTGTCTGTGAGATATCCATTGTCTTTTATATTAATGTTAATGTTTGGCCCGTCAACTTTTGTAAGCAGCTTTATGTTACGGGTTAATTATTTTTGTTCTGATTTATGACCTAAAATCTGTGTTGTTGCTGTGCCATTGTTGGATTGTTTTGTTGATTCCTTTGTAAATTCCAGCATATTTTCTAGCAAACTCTTGGTAAATTCCAGCATTTTTACTAGCAAACTCTTGGTAAATTCCAGTAGTTGGTAAATTTGCTGAGAGAAGTCAAGAGTTCACATTTGACCAAACACTCAGCCTGTGGAAGCTGTGGTGGTGTAGCAGCTAGATGCTCACCTGCTGGCCCCGAGGTCTAAGGTTTACATTTATATCAGGTGGATTTCTTGTTTAAAAGTAATATTGATTCCTGAGTCTACCCGGCCTAAAAGGGGTACTGGGAATAAATGTGGCTGGCATTATGTTGAGCACATCAGCCATCAAGTGCCAGTTGGTCTAAAAAAATGGGTCTAGAATATGCCCACTGTGCCTAAGATGTAAAAAGGGTCCCTTTTTTAATGGGTTTCTCTTATAGGCAGATTATTTGTTGGTAGCCATCTGTGAGTTGAGGTATTCTCCAAGCAAGTAACAAAAGGGTTTGACAGTTTGATCTTGTTGCTTATACATTAGTGAAGTAATTACAATTTATAAGAACTGTCCAAGAATAATAAATTGATTATTGCCAGATGTAAGACAAGGATGGGTGTTGTCGCCAGAATTCTGATCACTTAAAATGTGATATAACAATGAGAGAGATCAAAGACCAACCTGCAGAACACGTTGGGGCTTACTCAGTAAACAATCTGAAAAACCTAGATATGATTTTACAATAGCCCCCAAAAAAACGGGGGCAGTTAAAAAATGGTACGATGGAAAATTTATGCCAGAGATTCTGATGTCACCAATACTTTCAGTGAATTAGTGAGAACTGCCATGACAACACTTAGAACAGTTCCATAAGTGCTCTGATCTCCTCCTCAGTAGCTCCACAAAGAGTAAAATGACTGTTCATGCCCATTCTGTGTTGATTGTTCAGATGTCTTGTGCCCTTGATGAAATGTTCCTGTCTGACTGCTCCTGGGTGTACCCCCATGCCCACAAGCCTGGACAGAGATAACAAAATCCTGCTTGTCACTTTCATTCAATGTCAGAAAGAAAATACTACAGTGCTATGTTGAACCTGTCCTGTTGTATGGCAGTCAATCATGGAGTGTCCATGAACAGATCATGGGCAGTAGAAATCTGGTTTCTGTTTTGAATGTTGTGAATATCTTGGGAGTAGCTAATGATTGGTTGGACAAGGCTAATGATTGCTTGGGCAAGGCTAATGATTGGTTGGGCAAGGCTATCTTGGGGAGTAGGCTAATGATTGCTTGCTAATGATTGGTTGGACAAAGCTAATGATTGCTTGGACAAGGCTAATGATTGCTTGGACAAAGCTAATGATTGCTTGGACAAGGCTAATGATTGCTTGGACAAGGCTAATGATTGCTTGGACAAGGCTAATGATTGGTTGGACAAGGCTAATGATTGCTTGGACAAGGCTAATGATTGGTTGGGCAAGGCTAATGATTGCTTGGGCAAGGCTAATGATTGCTTGGGCAAGGCTAATGATTGCTTGGACAAGGCTAATGATTGCTTGGACAAAGCTAATGATTGCTTGGACAAAGCTAATGATTGCTTGGACAAGGCCAATGAAAGAAGTTTATATGCAACAAAAAAGACTTGTGTCAGAACGAGGCCAACAGTCTTCTACAATCAGGTTGGGGTAAACGATGCCCTGTAGAACATGGTGATGACTGGGAAGATCTCTGGCAGAAGAAGCTCAAGCAGACTGAATAAAGATGAAACTTGATGGTCTGAGATGGTGGCCTGGAACAACGGCAGGACCGCCGCTTCTGAACACGACAGACCCAGATCTTTGGAGAGGTTTGATCACCTGCAGATGATGATTAGATATATTTCACCCACATACAACAATCAGCTTAGTTGTACAAACGTGTCGCATACATTTTCATAATGTTCGATTATTGTATGTGAAATTTTTTGCCTACTTGTAGTTTTTTGACTTGTAAGTTATCTGACTTCACATGTAAAAATGATGTTATTGTTAATGTAAAAATTTATTAGTGTACGTCTGTACATAGTGATTTATATGTTCAGGCTATTTTTGTATATGTTGAGACACTTTACCAGTTTTATGATAAACAATCTTTGATGTTGTAATTCTTCATAGTTTGTTTGTTGAAGTTATATTTCTGTATGTTGTAGAACTTGCTGTCTGCTCTCTTTCTATATCTCTGTGTAGGTTACACATCTGTGCACAG